GCTCTGATCCTGCTTCTGTCCCTGCTCTGCAGTGGGATTTCCCTGCCTGCAGTTACCCTCTGCCACATGCAGGGGATCACCCCAACCTACTCTGCAAAAGGGCCAAAATAATCTGGGGATCCAAGTATTTTAAACAGGGGCAAATGATTGTTCCTGTGTTCCACGTGGTTTGGAGAAGGCTCCAGGGAGACCTGAGAGCCCCTGCCAGGGCCTAAAGGGGCTCCAGGAGAGCTGGAGAGGGACTGGGGACAAGGGATGGAGGGACAGGACACAGGGAGTGGCTTCCCACTGCCAGAGGGCAGGGATAGATGGAAGGAATTGGGAAGGAATTGTTGGCTGTGAGGGTGGGGAGGCCCTGGCACAGGTTACCCAGAGAAGCTGTGGCAGCCCCTGGATCCCTGGAAGTGTCCAAGGCCAGGTTGGAGCAACCTGGGCTAGTGGAAGGTGTCCCTGCCCATGGCAGGGAGTGAAACTGGATGGTCTTTAAGGTCCCTTCCAACCCAAACCACTCCAGGACTCCACAATATCCATATGGAAAACCAGAAATGAAAGAACAGAGGAGTGGAACATCCCCACTAAGACTCAGACTGGTTTCCCACAACATCAGAGGTGCATTATAGTCACTGCTTTTAAAGAAAAACCTGGATCTACAGAGCTCCTTCCTGCCAGCACCACTGTCCTGCACTGGAATCCATGGGATTAACCCGGAGGAGGGAGCTCCATCCCCTCCACCTCCCTTCCTGTCAAACACAGCTGAACCTCCTCTGGAGCTTCCAGGCTCCAGAACTGACAGTGCCTGTCCCTGCCCACGGCAGAGCACCCACAATCCCCTCCCCAGGCACAGTTTGCAGCCTGTGCAAGACACAGAAACAACATTTAATGGCTAATGGGGCACCCCAAGGTGGCCTGGGATAGGGAATGAAGGAACAGGCAGATGCTGGAACACACCACTCACCCAAACTGCACAATTGCTCGAGTAAATGGCTCCAACAAATTGAGTTTTCCACATTTCTCCCCGTTTTCCCCAGCCATGCAATTCTTAGGGTGGTACATCATCAACAGCCACTTCTCTCCCAATTACTCAACTCAAAGTGAAGCCTTCTGGTTAAACTGCATTTTGGAAGATGGGAAGCCATTCCCCCCCCTTTTCTTCCCTCTCTCCCAGATCCTGGTAACTCACAAATTAATTAGGGCATCATTGGGGCTTTATGTTTATCTCTGTGTACACAGTGTTATATCCTCCTGCTGCTGGAGGCTCCTCCAGCAGAACCCAAAGAGATCCAAACCATCCACAGCTCCCATTTAAAATAAATCCCAGGCACACAGAAGGGATTAAACAGAGTTCCTGAACATCCCACTTCTCCTAAGCTACAACTGCACAGCAAAAACTAGAAAACATGAAATAGGAGAAAAATATTCTATTTTAAAGGAAGGAAACAGTGTTTTGATACACCATGTGAGAGATTTGACAGAGAAATAATTTGCCAGAGATAAATACCTCTACTTTGTAATATTTAAGTTCAAAATATACACAATTTTAGGCCTAAATAATTAAAGTAGCTACTCCTGACCCTGGCTGGCAGTGTGTGCATCCCATTGCAAACCAAATCATTTAACATACAGTTTGGGGGTGTTTTATATTTCCTCACATATTTTGGAACATGCAACCAATCAAAAAGCAAGGATAATTAACTGGCTTTGCCATATCCAACTTCAGGATTTTTATCGTCCCTTAATTAAGAAAATAGCACAGCAAAAGGTAGGGGCAAAATAGGATGTCAAACAACTATAAAATCCCTTCTTTTTAGAACAGGAAAAACATTTAGATTCAGCAAGTTCTCCCTAGAAATATTGCTATAAAGTATTGATTTTTTACCAGACTCAATTGACTGAAAAGTTGTTTGTATAGCAATATTGGCCAAGCCAATATACTGGAACAATTTTTGCTACACACAGTAATCAAGTGTATTTCTAAAGTATAATTATACTGTCATAAAAATAAAGCTAAGATACCTCTTCTCCAAGCAATAAACCAGTTGCAGCTGTAAAGAACCCAAATAAATGAAATCCATTTTCTAACTAAACATAACGTCTGGCGAGGAGAACGAACCCACCTCCCCTCTCCCCCCCCAACCCTCCTGGAGCCAGGGGTGGGATGAGAAGTGATCAATACTTCCATCTCAATAAAAACTATTTCAATAGTAAGTTAATTCACGTGGCAAAGGGAGGCTGAGAATTTTTGTTGCCTCGTTTGCTGAATGCCGGGAATATATCATTGCCATAATGGATCTGGGTTGGGATAAAGAGCTGGAAAGAAAGGGAGCTGGAAGAGAGGAGAGGGTGCAGACAGGCTCGTTCTTTAGCTGCAGATCAATAACCCACACGGGCTCTTCTCTCCACCAGCACGAGGGGGAAACGCAGCCAAACCTCTGCAATTAATTTTCCTTGACAAATGTTCATTGATTTACTGGAATAAAATATATGTGGGCTGCTGTGTATGACTAGTGCAATCCAGCTACCTGTAAGTATTCCACTCTGCAAGTCCTTATTGGCTTGGGTTGGGGTAGATGATCTTCCCTTCAGGAAGGGGGGATTGCTCCAAGGTGGGAAGTTCTGCCACAGGGCTGGAGCCCCTCAGCTCTGGGAGAGGCTGGGAGAGCTGGGAATGTTCATCTGAAGAAGAGAAGGCTCCAGGGAGACCTGAGAGCCCCCTCCAGGGCCTAAAGGGGCTCCAGGAGAGCTGGAGAGGGACTGAGGGCAAGGGATGGAGGGACAGGACACAGGGAATGGTTTCCCACTGCCAGAGGGCAGGGAGAGATGGGAGATTGGGAAGGAATTGTTGGCTGGGAGGGTGGGGAGGCCCTGGCACAGGTCGCCCAGAGAAGCTGGCTGTCCCTGGATCCCTGGAAGTGTCCAAGGTCAGGTTGGATGGGGCTTGGAGCAACCTGGGCTAGTGGAAGGTGTCCCTGCCCATGGCAGGGGGTGGGACTGGATGAGTTTTAAGGCCCTTTCCAACCCCAAACCATTCCAGGATTCTGTGATAACATGTAAAACATCCACACACACAAACAGTTCCCTGGAGCAGGGTGGAATGGCACCTACAACGGAGGAAATGCTGTGAAGTCACTGCAAGTGCTGATTTAAAACATGAACGGGATAAAAAAAGAAAAAGAAATGCAGAAATAGTTCCCTGATCCAGAAGGGGCCTCAGGTCTTTTATTTTTCACTTTCCCAGACTGCAGGCAAATGCCACAGTCACCCACTTAACAAAGGTGATCGAAGCACACTACCTTAGAAATACAAAATTATGTCAAAAAAGTGAAAAATGCGGCTTTATGCCACATTTTATCCAGATTTCCTGGGTGAATTTTAAGAAGTGTGAAATACATACTGTGCATGTGGCAACATTATGAAAGAATGGGATGTTTTTACACCATTTCTGCCCCCAAAAGCTGTGTCTCATCCTACACCCAACAGACACAGAATGAGCTGCTCCTTCCAAGCTTACAGACAGGCAAGAAGTTCATCAGACCCTCAGTGCAAAAATAGGAGGGAAGAACACATTCTCTTACCTTGGTTTACACTCCTTAGACTTTCAGAATGAAGAGGAGACACTTTAGGTAGGACCATTCTAACGCTGGTCATGATTTCACGTTGTTACTTCCTCATTTCAGCGGCTTCCCAAAGAAAATCACCCAGAACTGGACACAAGGACATATGTGGGTTCCCCCTCTTGGTGGGTGGGATATTCCCTGTCCTAACTATGCCTCAAGTGCTTTCCACAAGGACCAGAGCACGTGGTCCTCCTTTGTGATGCTTCTCCCACCTGCACCCACTCCCAGAGCACAGGGAAGGGAAGGAACCTTCTCAACTCAGAAAACACCAAGACTGAGGATTAAAGCTCAACATTCTCTCTCATATCTATTATAAAGCAAGAAAATAATCCCAATTCCTCAAGTTTCTTGGTCTAGGAATATCTTTCTCCCAGACATCTCCCATGAGATTTCTGAACCATGTTCTACCCACAATTGTAACCTGATTTTCAGAGTCCACTCCAAGGCTGGATTTGTTCCTTTAAGCTTTTGGAAGTTCCATTTCCATTAAACCTTCTGCAACGTTGGCAGCCAATTAGAAACTAAACTAAATGCACCGTAACTTTTAAAACATTTGGGGGGGGGGGGGGGAATGTTAATCTGAAAGTTAAAGTGTCTAAGGTATAAACAAAACCCTAATGGGATGCTGGGTTACTGTATATGGTAAATAGCTCTCTGGAGGAAACCTTTATTACTCCCTCAGGGCTTTCTTATAAAGTATGGATTTCTTAATTCCCAGTGGAATATTTTTCATACCCCACTGCAGACTATTAAGTACCAGATATTACATTATGTAGTTTAAACTTTGCACTATGCATGAGAAAGACTTTCCTGTCGAGAAAACTATATCTGTGTTATTATAATCTTTACAATATTCAAATTAATACTGGCTGCAGGGTATTAAAGCTCCACTACCGAAATTTGGGAGAGTTTATAATTTAATATATTCATCAGCCTGCGTGTGAAGCTGCTCAGGAGGGAGGAAGTCACCTCAACAGCAGAAGGGGGGGTGAGGAATTCTGAACTGGTGTCACCACATCCCACTGGTGTCATTCCCAGTAAGGGCGTGGCGAGCCAGCAGAAATAATGGCACTGGAAATCCTGGAGGCAACTCAGGACATTCCAAGTTCCACTTGTGAGCCCATTAACTTGTTACCCAGAGGGGGATTCAAAGCTTAGCATTAAAAAAATAATAAAAATGCACCAGCCCTCCCAGCACCCAAGAGCAGGCACCTTGTAAATATATAAGAGGATACTTTCAAAGTTCAGATTAAGGATTTATTTTATCATCTTCCCTGCAGAGGAGCAACAGCCCACCTACACCTCGACACGAACACGAGGGGTAAAAATAAAAAAAGAGCTGTTAAATCTCATTTTTAAAAGGTTTTAAGTGAAATCCCCACTCACTTGTAGACTGTGCCTCCATTGCCGTGACCGAGGATGTCTCGATACCGTATGTCTTGTTCATTCATCTCCACAAGAAAGAAAGAAAAACAAAAGAGATGTCATGCTGGGGATGGAAATGTCAAGGAAAAGCAACTCTAGGCCATAAACAACAAGCAGTCTGGGTCATTTCAAGTTCAGCTGCAAGAACGAGAAGATCAATACAACATTTGCTGTCCAATTTATAAAAGACGATACCAAGGGACAAAGTGATGGAAAGTTTAATGACAATTTGTTTGCCTGGGTCATTTCATTAAAGTTTGATAAAAGGTGTCAAAATGGAATGATATAATATAGCTCAAGAGGGTCAGGTCACAGCTACTGATAGGAAAAGGGTCTCCAGAACAGCACATAACCAAAGCCAAAGTTGGAGGTGAATGGAAACAACCCAACAGAAAACTGTCAGCTTAAAGTGTGGCTGGAAAAGTTTATGATTTATTCTGGAATCAGCATCAGTGATACTAATTGAGTGACAGCTCTGCCAGCAGGTTGTTTGGCAGAGTACCATTTACTCACCTTTTAACTAAATAAAAATACACATATTTGGAAAAAAACAAGTCTTGAATTGCAATAAAAACATTTTTTTCCTTGAAATACACAACTAATTATTTGCCTCAACCTTTCTGTTCCCCGGGACAACTCTCCAGACACGATGAGATCCTCAGAAATCCAAGCAGCAGCCTGATAACAAACACTGTAAATTGCAAAAGCTGGAATGTGCCACCTTTCTGATAGTGCTTTTATAAAAATTTATTATATTGAAGGATCAATTCAAATGTAAAACTACACTTCAACCTTCCCCTGTATAAATTCAGTTCTACTGATTTTGCACCTATTAAAAAAACTCACTAAAGACATTCTTGCAATGCACGTGTATACTTTAAAATAAGTATTTTAATCAGAATAAACTCTGGACAGAAAGCATTTTCTATTCTAAAAAGATTCCCCCATTGCCTGATAATTTTCAGTAGTAAATGTTTGGACAAATCCTGCTTTTAAAAGATCTTTTCCTAGGAAACAAACTTGTTTGTTTACCATCTTACCCAACAAAATTGTTGTGTTACCATCACAAGGTGAAATGTCCTAGAGAGTCAATACTCAGCATGTCTTAAAAACAGAAAATGGAATATTTAATTGATTCAAAATAAGCTTTAAGGACAGAAACGATTAACCCAAAATTTGTGTCCTTTCCTTTCACTACCTGAGTAAAACACATTGTTTCTAACAGGAAATACTGCACATTTCTTCCAGTGATGTTAAAACCTGACTCCTGAGAAAACTCAAAATACTTCAAAGTAGAAGCTGACTCTATTTTATTACCTATTTGTAGTCAAACCTTGGCTAGGTATCTAAGAAGGAATGAAATGGCCCACTCAAATACCAAGGTTTATGATGAAAATCAACATTTATCTTCTTACCAAAAGCTTTCCTGCTTATTGCATCCATCAGAAAATGCAAATAAAGAGGGGGGAAAAGACACCTCACAGGGAACAATCACTCATAAATGGGATTTAAAATATGTAAGGGATCTAGAGTGGATCCCTTGCACTAGAAATAATTTCTTTCAGGCTGCAGACTTGTTGATTTAAAGTGAATTTACGGAGTTCTGCTCTTCCAAGCTGGAAGACTTGAGTTCTCTGGTCTTGGAGGCAACAACCAACATCTCTCCTGCATCCTCAGAAATGTTCTTCTCAACAAAACTCTGAAGAGAAACCCAGTGAACCCCCAAAGCCATGGAGAAACTCCTATCTTCCCTTCTTGAGGGTGCAAAAGGAGAATTTTTGGTGGTTACACAAGTTATAAACAACAAATTGAGCTAAATCGGAGACGAAGTGTTTCCTCTTTTCTCCCGTTTTTTGCTCTTTGGGGAAAGGGAGAATTTTCACCACATCATTCCCAAAAAGATGGGGATAGGAGCAGCTCCGTCCTCTGAGGATTGAGCCTGGTGATATCCCAGAAAAACAGCGACCAGAACCCAGGGAAAAACAGGAATACTGGGGTGGAGGGAGTGTCTGTCGGCGACCGACAGAGAGATAAAGTCTGATTTACTGGCTCCAATAAAGGTGCCAAAAAACACAGGGTGATTTATTTATTTTAACTGGGAAAACTGGATTCTCCATCATAAAACACCAACACAAAACCAATGAACTCCCCGGGAAGGACCGGAATATTAAAGCTGCAAACCCAACTTGGACTGGCTGCCGACACGAAGGGAATTCATGCAAAAGCAAAGCTTCAATTATGGAGCAGCAAAACAAAACACCCCTCGCTTGGACCTGCTGGGTTGGGCAGAAATCAGGGTCTGCCTGTTGTAAATCATTAAAAGCAAAATGCTCAATTAATCCTGATTTGATGTGGAGGGGCTGCCACAATCCCGCGGCCGCACCTCTGCTTCCCAAATGGAAGCAATCATGGATTCAGCCAACAGTCACACTCCATGAGCAGACAATTGAGGAGATTTAGTAAATCCCACTTTATAGAGCAGAGACTAATCGGAAAACACGAGCCAGTCAAATGTTTCTTATGAACTGTTGACACTATATCAATGCTGAATCAATTGGTGGCATTTACTCTGAGTGACAGAAAAGAAATAAATATTTATATCACATCACCTATATCAATGAACCCAGGCAGAAAGCTATTTCTAACCTGTCAATATTTGATTATCTTGAAGAATCATGTCCCCTTCTTTTAATGATTAATATGAATTCCTTATTAAACCTAAATGGAAACTACTAGAAGAATATCATTAGGGATGCCTGAAAGCAGAAACTGTCAAAAAATAATCAAAACTAATAGCCCAGGCCATATTTAAGTAATGATAAGTGTGACTTAATCCCCCCAAAAGGAGGAAAAGTTAAAAGTTACTACTGGAAACCCAGCTCCAGTTGTGGATCTGGGATCAAATTTTGCAGAACACAACAAAAATAATTTGCTCTCAACAGAAGGCAGATTAACTCCCATCAGGGTGAATAAAAAGTAGCATTAAACGTAGTATTAAAACTTAGTTATCTTATTTATTTTCTAATGGGTTTAAGCAACATTTTTAAAATCATAACAAGAAGTTTGGTTCTTTTATACCGTTCCAAAATTCTAAAACACAGGGGAGAAATCTGCGAATCTACTGCAGGGCACACAAACCACTTGTTTTTATTGTTTTGAACACATAAAGTGCCCAAATTCGGCTCTTCACGAGAGCTTTTACTCCCATTCAACAATTCTACCTTTTAAAAAAAATCAGTGATATTGGAGTTATTACCAACACGACTCAGAAGTTCAGCTGCCTGCTGCTGGCACTGCCAGAATTTCAAGTCAAGAGAAATGTATTGTCTGGCTCCCTAATTTTGAAACACAAGCAAATCCACCTGGTGGGAATGTGTGAATAAAAAAAATTAAATCTGGACATGAGGGACTGTCAAACTAAACCTGGACGTGAGGGAACATCAAACTAAACCTGGACATAAAGGGATGCTGACAAGCCTAAAACCACATTTCCAAGCTGCATTCCAGGGATTCAGTGGCACTGGGGTGTCCAAATCCTATTTTTGAGGGGGTCTCTCATCTGTTCCCCCCTCCCAGTGTTCCAGGTGAGGCTGAAGGACACGAGGAAGCTCAGCCTTCATCTTCTGACACGCTCAACTACAACTCCTTGATTCATGAAATGCCAACGAGGCTTGGAGAGGTCATTGTGTGAAGGCACTGAATAGGCATCTGAGATAATTAAGATTTCAGCCTTCGAAACGTGGAGGGGAAGTGAACAGCAGTTAAGAAAATCAATAAGAGTCTTTTATTTGCAGTGACACAGATGTCTCAGTCAATAGAGCCTAATAGGCAAGTCTGAGCCCACGACAGGCACCGGCCTCCGAGGCTGCAAAGGGCTCTCTGTGACAAACATTAAAACATATTTATGTTGCTGCTGAAGGATCTGGGCTTCTCTGAAGGTGGTTTAATTTAACAGTGCATATTTAATGTCATTACAAGCCTGCCCAAAACAAGCACAAAATAACTGTGCTGTTTGTCCGCTCGTCCATCAGTTGTTACATTAAACCTTTCACTTTTGAGTGCCTGGAACAGGAAGGGAAAGGAATTCAAGACAGTTTTCTGCAACTTCGGGGGGTTTTTTGGGTTCACTGGGGTTTTTTTGCTTTTTATAAAGAAGTTACAACATAGTATCATAGAATAGTTTAGGTTGGAGAAGACCTTTAAAAGCAAGTTCATCCATTAACTTAACATCACATGAAGTGGTAGAGTGAAGGAGGGCAGGGAGAGATGGGAGATTGGGAAGGAATTGTTGGCTGTGAGGGTGGGGAGGCCCTGGCACAGGTTGTCCCTGGATCCCTGGAAGTGTCCAAGGCCAGGTTGGATGGGGTTTGGAGCCACCTGGGCTAGTGGAAGGTGTCCCTGTCCATGGCAGGAGGTGGCACTGGATGTGCTTTAAGGTCCCTTCCAACCCCAACCATTCCATGATTCTAAAGTGATTCCAGAGCAGTTCCTTGCAAAAGCCTGTTAAATATTCAAGTGCCTTCTGCCCTAGAAAGTAGGAAGGTCATTCTAAGTGAGGAGTTGACTCAGTTATTCAAAATTGATTAACTTTCTCCCGGAATTGTGGCGGCAGCGCAACACGTGCGAGGGGCCTCCATCTATTTGGAGCTAAATCTGATTAGCACATTTTGAGAAATGGGAAGCAAATTGCTCTGCCAATCAAAGTAAATCAGGACACACAACTCATTCATATCATGAAGGTTTTCATGGTGCCTCCAAGTCCTGTGTTAAAAGAACACATCACAGCTAAATGAGCAGTAAACATCTCTGCCCCTATTTGTGCTGTGCCAATCACTGCAGAACCAGGCAGCCAAGGCTCCATCCAAAGCACCTACCTGGCCATTGGCAAGTATTTTCTTCAGCTCTGCAGAAGACTTTTTCAAGCTGGAATAAAAACAAGAGGCGATTATTTTTAACAGCTGGGTCGTTTCGCTCCATCAGATCAAGGGAAATCACAAGCAACAAATTCCTGGTTCCATTATTCTGAGTAGGTGAAACTTGGAGGAGGAGATCTAGTGAACACCAGTCAGCACTGCCAGAGTGCAGACAGCAGGGATGGAGCAGCAGTGAACACTTCAGAAAATCAATGTATTTTTCACCTTTACAAACTGGCTGGTTTAGATACCTGACTATACCACCCCCTGAGACACAACCTATTGTTCATCAGTAAAATGAAAGAAAGATACTGTGGCACATCAGGTGGTTCAGAAAACAACAGGAAAATAAGGCTCACATCTAGTTTTCAGGTGCCATATCTCGTTTTACAGCTCCTTAAGGGATCATTCCTCAATAAGTCCTGCAGCAGAAGGCTTTGCCCCACTATCTCAGATGAGTGCAGACCACAGCACAGCGAGCAGGACGTGCCTAAATCCCTGAGATGAGTCCAGGTTTCCATTCCAGGACAACTTGCTGCACTCCCTGTGCTTTTTCAGGAAGAATCCACTCCCATGTCAATAATCTTACACAAAACAACTCAATTTTCTCTGCCAGGAGAACTTTAACAAACCACAACTCTCAGCTTGGTGAGTTTTGTAGGTAAAAACCATCAACGGCTTCAAACTCCTTCCACCCACTCACAAAATGCTGCTTTTCACCTCCTCTCCTGACAAACTCTGTTCCTTGTACCTTCAACACAACAAACTGCCTGGGCAGCAAAATGCCTGCAAAAACTTCATCTCAAAGGGACATTCTGCTCTTATTACTGAAGTTTGAAAAAAAAAAAAAAAAGTACAAAATAATATATTCTTGAAAGGCCCGTGCACGTGTCTTGATCACAGATCATTATTAACAGGAACAGTGAAAACACAGATTTCATATTTGGTGGCTTTGTTCTTTAATAGGCCTCTTGTTCCCACGACTACTTTAAAGCAAAATTAAGTTTTCCAAGGAAACATAAGTTGATCTTGTCATCTTTCATGACTAACAATTTGTGAACATGAAACAAAGAGAGACTTTCAATTACTTCAAAAACAAAACTCCGAGCGCGGAAGGGCTGGGAAAAGGAATGGCAATTAACCACCAAATAAGGTGACAAGAAGCTTCTAGAAGCTTCCTTTTCAATGCACTTTAAGAACAAGCTCAAAGTACAGCGAGTGCTGAAAAGCCACAGCACAGAAAAACAGCTTTATTTAGTTCAGGCTGGGAGGGCTGCGGGTCAAAGCCATTCAGATTTAGTTCCTTTATGGAGTTTTGGGTTGGATTATCACCACTAAAACATGGAGCAAATCTTCCCCAGGGGATGGGGCAAACTTGGCTCGCTTATTTTTTTAGCTCCACAATTAGCAAAGCCACTAAAGGGAGCATCAAACTGGTTTTAGTGGTGCTGGGATGGGGTTCCCAGTGGGGCAGAACTCCCGTGGAATCTCCTCATCAATGGGCACCCACATCCCATCATTCCCACGAGGAAAAGAGGGATTCGGAGACTGTCCCACCACCTCGGGGTGTTAACAGAACAGGCAGCCAAAATTCACCCATCAAATGCAGCCCAACTGGGTCTTTGATCGTGTTCATCTCTCTCTGGCAATTAATCTCTTTTTATTTTACAAAATGCTCTCAGAGAGCAAAGGCAGCAGATGCTGATGCACAGATAAATGCAATATTACATGCTTATTAGAATAATAGAATAATTTAGGTTGAAAGGGGCCTCCAGAGGTTTCTATTCCCACGGTTCAAATATGCTCTTGTATGAAGAACATGCAGCCAGACTTTCCTTATTGCTTTCTTAAGAACACACAAGGTTTCTGTTTATTCCTTTTAACATCAGTATGCAGAATAATGACTTCATGTAATAAAAGGGAGTTTATGCTCCAGCATTTAAAAATCAGACCTCCAGGAAAAAAAAGAGAACGAGTTCTCTTGCATTTTAAGACCTTAACATGGGTTTTCAAATTAGAACTGGGATGTGAAAAGAAAAATAAGGGAGATGGACTTCAAAACTTTGGTGAAACTATATGAAATAGGGTAAGGAATTTTCAAATAAATAATAAACCTACAGAGGTTTATGATTTGGGTTATTTACCATTGCAACCCTAAGAACGGGGTATTTTAAAAGCCAAGAATCCTGGAGCGAGATCAAGTAACGACGACTTCAACATACAAACCTTGCCATTAGATCAACTAATTATTGATTAATAACTGATTAGTTCAACCCCAAACGGTACCTCAATGCTTTATAAGCACAAAACCACCCGAAAGAGCCAGAAAACACTTATTTCTTTTTTTTCCAGAAGAAAACTCTCATGGAGCCCCCAAATCCAGGCAATTCACCTTCCCCACCTCAGCACTAGTGGAAAAAGTTATTCAGTTATTCACCACCAATGTCACTGTTGGCAACAACCACACAGGAGGGTGTGTTTTGGTGTGAGAAAAGGTGAGAACACCAAGCAGGGGCCCGGTTCTTACCTATTGCTGGGGAGGGAATCGGCCACAGCTGAGCCGCTGTTGTTGGCAGCCCCTGCTCGAGTATTTACCTGCAGGCAGGGAAAGGATCTTTTCTCAGTCACTGTGTTCAGAGGACACCATTCTAATTAACCTGTAATTTGCCACGAATTTCTCATTTCGCTGGGAAGGTTAATTAGCTGCTTGCCAGGCACAGCAATGGTTGGGGTCTGTATGTAGGTTAGCAGGCTCCAGGATTCCTGGGCTGCAGAAACCTCCCCACCTTCCACAGCGCAGGAAAAGAGGGGATAAATCCATCATTTGTGCACATTTTAAAAACTAAACAGTCATTTGGTGCATTTGGAGCCTCCTACGTGTGATGACAGGAGCAATAAGCTGAGCTGAAGGAATCAAAACCCTCAAATGATTTCGTTGCGGTGCCTTCTCCACTTAGAAATGACTGAAATCAAATCAGTGTGGTGGGGCTTTAAATGGCTGAATTCAAATGAATATGGGGGGTGTTAAAGCTCTGAAGTAGTGGCAGGTATTAGTTCATAAAGTGACTATTAAAATTTAGGAACCCGATTAACAGAGGTTAAAAGGCAAAAGAAAGGCAGCACCATTTTAATAAAACTATGTATATATATATAGTACATATGCACACATTATATAGATATAGATAGATACACAGATAGCATTAGCTGATAAAGTGACTATTAAAATTTAGGAACCTGATTTACAGAGGTTAAAAACGAAAAGAAAGGCAGTTCCATGCTAATAAAACTATATATATATATATAGAGAGTATATATATGTGTATATATATATAATATATATATAGTGTATATGGACACTATATATATATATAGATACACAGATAGCATTAGTTGATAAACTGACCATTGAAATTTAGGAACCTGATTCACAGAGGTTAAAAACAAAAAGAAAGGCAGCTCCATTTTAATAAAACTATATCTATCTATCTATCTATCTATATACTATATATATATATATACACAGATAGCACAACATTTAGATAAATCCTTCTCCCACCCTCAACAACAACAAAAAAAATTAAAAAATAATAATAATAAAAAAAACCCCTGCTTGTCAGAGCTCAAGAAAGTGCAGTTTTATTTGACATTTCAATAAGTGGAACACAGCATTACAAATCCATCTAAGTTTGCTGAAACAATTATTGAAATTCGTACCTTCAGGCCATGTATGTTCCGTTTCCCAGGAGGTTTGCAGGCTGAAACAGTAATTGACTCAATTGTAGAACACATCAGGGCCATTTACAAATTTGCTCAAAATGAATCTTTTCAAAAGAAATGAGGGTGACACCAAAATTAGCAGAGAGAAATGATTGAAAAGTGCCTCGCAAGACCCCAGAGTGGGAATTACCAAAGCAGGATTTTTTAACTTGCAGGAAGTGAGCGTTTATAAATGGCTAAGAGCTTTCTGACACCGTGTAATAGAAATTCTAATTTCTGCTTAAAACACATCACCAAAAAAAAAAAAAAAAAAAAAAAAAAATCGAGAGAACTGGTGGCTTAACTGATCAGAGGCTTTTTGTAATTCAAATTAAAATCTTCTGTCGCTATATTTTCACGCGCTGTGGGTTTTTTTTTTTTGGCCTGGCATTTAACAGCAATATTTGTAAGATGTGTTTTTAAAGGAATCAGCTGCCACACGTCAGGAATTAGTCACGTTGTCAACTGCAGTTGGGTTTAAATGTTGCAAAACATGGCAGGGGCAATAGCAGCCAGCCTCAAAAAAAAAGCAAACAGTGACTAGAAAATGCCAATTTTTGGACAGGGATGTACAAATGTGGTGCTTTATGATGATGGGTTTGGAGAAAGGGTTTTCCTTGAGTCTCTCCACCTGAACCTCTCCTTGTTCTTCACTCAGGGCTGTGTTTTTGTCACAAGTTAAAGCCACAAAGGCTCCCTGTTCCAGACAGTTCCCATTTGAAAACTCCAGTGCCCTACAAATGGTATGTTAAAGGGGCTGTCACTGGTGATTGATTGTCTGAGGAGGGAGGAATTTGATTTTTCTCTCTTTCTCTGCTGCACGTGCCTCTCACTCCCCTTTTTTTTGACAGCAGGAAGCAGAACTATTTATTAGGCAGAAGGACACAGATGATAGTTATTAAACACATCACTTAGGGCCAGGCCATGTGCCTTTAAATGACAGTAGAAATCACCACGTGCATCTTAAAGAGGGGAAAATATTATGATACTGTGGGCATTAAAAAAAAAAAATCAGAAATTATAAATATATATAAGCATGTTGTATTTTTTCAACAGATTAAAATTGACATTTTGAACGTGATATTATAAGAATATTTTATTATATATATTATATATTATATATATTATATATTTGTATTTTATATATATTGGAATGGGATATTCAGCTTGTGTTCCACAAATGGGATATATATATATAACACAGATAGGGGAGATATATCTATATATACATATAGATATATATAGATAAAGAGATATATATAAGGATATAGATACAGATAGAGATAGATACAGATAGAAATATATAAATAGATATAGACAGATATAAATGGATAGATATAGAAATAGAGATATATGTGTATGTACACACATACACTCTTGTTTATGTATATCACACACAGAGGTTTATTTTCAATATAAAAAAAGAATTCTGGCTCTTATTACCTAAACAGCAACAAGGTACTTATTAAAAAATAGACAAAATACCAATTTTTCCCCTTAAAGGCCTTTAAATTATGAAATGAATTGTGAAGCACAGCCCAGGTAACACAGGATGGCACGTGGACATTTACTCCTGGCAGGATTTTTTATGGAAAATATGAGTTTTTGGGAGCTGGCTGAGGCTTCCTCAGAAGGAAGAGGAGCAGAAAGGGAAAAGGATTCAAAGGACTTGCAGAGAAAGCTCTTAAAAGGGAGAACTTTAAATTACAGGCAGAAAAGCTGCACGTTCCTGACAGGTCTTTCAAGTGCTGAACGTGGAGAGACACGGCCAAAAGGGCAGGGGAGAAAAGTGCTTGTGCCAACAAAATTTGGGATGTTCATTTGAGAGGCAGGACAAGAAGACGGGGGGGAAAAAAAGAAGCAGGAAAGCACATTTTGTTCAATATTTCAGAGCAGCAGCAGAACTCGGGGGCGGTCTGGGCTTTAAAGCTCTAACCTAGAAAGGAGAGGTGTTTTAAGGAGGTGATTTGGAAAGATGAAACTCAGCTCTGAAGCAATTTAGGGTAAGTGGGAACAGGGAAATACTCAGCAGAACAGGGAGCTGAGCCCATGCTGAAAATGGGGAGGGAATATGGGGGGATCACATCCAGAGCAGCACAGTGAATCCTGGATCTGTGCATCCATTACCCCTGGATGTAAAGCAGGAATATGGGGGGATCACATCCAGAGCAGCACAGTGAATCCTGGATCTGTGCATCCATTCCCCTCGGATGTAAAGCAGGCAGAAAAAAGGAGACAGCAGCAGGAATAAGAATCTGCTCAGCTGGTTCTTCAGGAATGACCCAAAAGGAGAATCGAGAAGGTTTAACCCAATTTGTAGTCACAAAACATCCCTTTAAACTCCAAGCTGTGCCAGCACCTCCTGCCACAACTTCCTGCAACTGTTTGATTAGAAAGAAAATAGATGTAACTGCCTCGTATTTCCAAGAAGGATTCCCAACCTACAAGGATCATCCACTACATCAGTTTTTCCAAGCTACAAGAGAAGGATCCAGGGAGATCTGAGAGCCTCTTCCAGGGCCTAAAGAGCTGGAGAGGGACTGGGAACAAGGGATGGAGGGACAGGACACAGGGAACGGTTTCCCACTGCCAGAGGGCAGGTTAGATGGGATTTTGGGAAGGAATTGTTGGCTGTGAGGGTGGTGAGGCCCTGGCCCAGGTTGCCCAGAGAAGCTGTGGCTGCCCCTGGATCCCTGGAAGTGTCCAAGGCCAGGTTGGATGGGGCTTGGAGCAACCTGGGCTAGTGGAAGGTGTCCCTGCCCATGGCAGGGGGTGGGATGGATTGGGCTTTAAGGCCCCTTCCAACCCAAACCATTCCATGATTCCACGATCTCAGCCTGAGAAGAGGCAGGAGATCACTTCCCTCTCACAGCTGCTCTCAGGAGGACACATCTCACTGCTGGTGGCTCTGGAGTCCTGCAGCTCAAACATCTGGGAGGCCCCTCAAAATCAGATCCTGAGCCATAAAACCAATCCTCTGTTCCCCTTGAATTCCCATCTCTTTTCCACAGGATCACACTAAACTACCAGGAAACCCAGGCTCCTTTGGAGACCTGATTAGCACGTGTTTGAGGAGGCTCTTGCTTAATTGCCCAATTCAAACTTCAGAGAGTTGTAAGTAATGGAAGTCTAGAAATGTTTAATTGGGAGCCTCATAGTATGATTATTTGTACCACATCAGTTAAGTGAGAAGAGTTTAATTTTTAATTATTTCAATTAATTTATTGCTGGGAGATTTTACTCGGAGAATTTCAAACCTTCTCCAGTTCCATCAATTAAAAAAGAGGCAGAGATTCCAAGCCTGGCTACTGAGATCTGAATGAATCAGTGGGATTATGTAATGCACTGGGCTTTCCTTAACCATTATTTGAGTTCATTCCCAAAAACCTAACGAGCTGCCTACGGATTTTTTGTGCAGGTTGTAGATGACCTATTTTTTAATTGCCTCAGTCCACAGAATTGATTACATCTTCCTCTGTTCAGGAGAGCTATTAAAGTGCTCGTGAACATTTTGATATTGCTGTTAAATGCCCAGATCTCAGATAAAACGTGTCATGGACACAGGAGCTCCTGTGACAGACACGTTCCCGTTTTCCAAATGAGCGGTGACAGTGACATCCCCCAAGCCTGTCAGGCTGATTAATGATATTAAAACATCTAAAAAAAAAAGCCCAATTTACATAAGTATCTCCAAAACTTCGGTTATTCATCTGCTTTGAATACAGGCAGAACCCTCACCAATGAGTTTTTTAAATGTACTTAAATATGTACTGTGCAAACTGAATCTCGTTAGTCTAATTTACTCCAGGAAATCGGCTATTTTATATGCAATAAATGCAGTTTTCCCTCCACTCCCCACAATAATGAATTCTCCCATCCAAATTAAGAGGTAAACATCATGTTATGTGCATTTAAACCTCCCCAAAAAAAAAACGTATCAGTGAAGTGTTTCATCAACAGTTATCATCGTTGTTGATTAGAATTTGTTCAGCATTACCTCTTGGATAGATCTGCAGAGGCTCTATCAACTGTCCATTTACTTGCTGCTCCATTACAGTGGAGTAATACTGCAAAGAGATTAAAGAAAGAGATGACTCAGTAATGTATGAGCAGTAAAAGCACTTCTGGATTGTTTAATTCAATGTATTTTTATTTATTTTTTAATTGCCGCGGCACAAATCAGCCTTCAGATGGTTTCTTACCATCTGTGGTTGTTCCCACAATAAGTGGGACAGAGGAACTTAACCAAGGGGCTGCGGTGCCCAGCACAGGGATCTGTTACTGGATCAACTGGGGAAGTTCCAGGCTCGCCTGGAACCTGGGAATACTTCCCAGAGGGAGCAAATGGAACCTTGACAGCAAACACAGCGGGTGCCACACCTGGAGGAGCCGAGAAAACCAAACATGGAAACAAAGACATGCTGTAAATACAGTCAAGGATTGTGCAATCAGGAAAACTCCAAGAAAATTCCACGGGAACATGGAAAACTATCCGAGAATTTGCAGCGGTGAAGCACCATCAGGGCAGTTGGGGTCATATCCCATCCAGGCAGAGATGCCACCTATGTCCCCTTGTGGGATGGGTTTAACGCACAAAGCGCTTCCAGAAAATCCATGCAGACATCCCGACCCCTTGGGCTCCACAGGGACTGCTGGAAGTGATCTGAGGGGGAATGTTTAGTGATAAAGAAAGGCTAAAAATGGGCAAAAAGGGATGCAAAAGGATCTGAGAACATCGAGACCCAAGAAGACACTTGGGCCACTGAGATGATCCAAGGGCTGGAGCCCCTCTGCTCTGGAGAGCTGGGATTGTTCACCTGGAGAAGAGAAGGATCCAGGGAGACCTGAGACCCCCTTCTAGGGCCTAAAGGGGATCCAAGAGACCTGGAGAGGGACATGGGAAGGACGGGACAAAAGGGAATGGCTTCCCACTGCCAGAGGGCAGGGATAGATGGGATATTGGGAAGGAATTCTTGGCTGGGAGGGTGGGGAGGCCCTGGCACAGGTTGCTCAGAGAAGCTGTGGCTGCCCCTGGATCCCTGGAAGTGTCCAAGGCCAGGATGGAGCAACGTGGGCTAGTGGAAGGTGTCACTGCCCACGGTAGGGGGTGGAACTGGATGAGCTTTAAGGTCCCTCCCCACCCAAACCATTCTGGGATTCCATGAAGACACAAAACACGTAACGTGGGAGGAGGGAGCCTGAGATGTGGCCCGAGGATGAGGAGTGGCACTAAACGAAGAAATAAACCTTTGGATTAAGCAAACTGAAATCTTCATCAGCCTCCTTTAATTGTCCCTGACTGCTGAGGAGGGGGGAACTCCCCAGTCAGGCCCTTTAACCCCACAACCAAACCATCCCAGGGCAGGAGACAGACCTGGCTTGGGAATTTCCCGCCTCCAACCTGCCCAACTCCTGTCACCACGTGTTATAAACACCGAAAGTACATCACAAAGAACGTTTCCTTTGCAATCCCTGAACACCTCTGAAGGAAACCTGCTGGCTGTGGGCCAGATCTCCACAGCAGAAATCCCTGTGGCTCCTCTGGCTTTCATCCTCATTCTCACCAGCCCAGTGTGGTCTAAGAATTCAGCATGTCACTGTTGCCAGCCCTGTGTGATACTGTTCAAACTGGCAAGGCTGGGTGTCAATGAGGAGAAAAATCGCAAGTCTCTACAGAATCAAACACAGGTATTTCCTTCACACTGATGGTTTCCTTCCAAACATGAATTTTTCCTGATGCAACTTCAAAGAGACAAAAGTTTAGGGACTGTGCCCCTTGGGAAACGATCAAGAGCTTCTCCAGGGGTCACAATGATCCCATAAACTTATTTTTTTATTAGGAGGGTCGTGAGTAACATGTCAAATCCTCCCCCATGTCCTCATATCCCTTTATAAAAACACCTAAAAGTTATGGAGCTGGGAAAGAACCTCCTGCTCCAAAACTGCTTGATAAAAACAAACCTTTTAATTACCATTTCCTAGTGGCATTCTGTGACCCGAAGACACCTACATACACAGCATAAACATATATGACACCCTCTCTGGAATAATAAACTAAAATAAACAGACATGAGACTGTTTCCTACCAAAAAAAATATATAATAGAGGGGCAGAGAGAGAGAGAGAGAGAGAGAAAAACCCATGGCCCTCTCCATTACTCACCAGTGATGACAAGTAAATGAAATATCAATCATGTAAGCTGTCAACCTTTTGGGACAGCAATAACTGTTAACAAGTAGTCTGGAAAAATTGACTGAAAATGACTTGTCCTCCACACGCGAGCATTTGAGGTTTCCATGGAAAATTAAGATGCCAGTGGCTATTTGGAACATTGTTCAGGTATTCTTTTTAATGGGAAATTTGCCAGTTATTGATCCAGAGCATGTACCCCTTGCTTTGAGAAAGCTGCGAGCAACTTTCCAATCAGTGGCTGTCAAAAAAATTACTGCCTTTTTATAGTGCTACAAGACAAGAGGCCAGTGCAGCCCCACTGCTGCTCTAGCTCTGCCTTTAATTAACTGCAAGACACAAGGCAGAAATCAGTTTAATTTCCCACCCACCCCCCTCAATATTTGCCTAATCCAAAGCATTTGTGCTCACTCAAAAAATAACTCCAGAACTGCCTGAAATAACTTCCTGCCGAGTTCAGAAAGCAAAAGGACCTAAAGAGGAGAGGCTGGGCATGATTCTCATATGTCATGTGATTCCAAATATCTCATGTGATTCCAAAGATCTTCCCAGTCAGAGTGTCATGGAAGAAATCTCTGAGCTCAGGGAATTGGGTTTTTTGTTCTTAAACTGAAAGAAAACACTTCCATTTTGGAGAACATCAAAATGCACCACGCTAAAATTCCCAGAAATATTTAAGCAGCTGTCCAATCCTCCAAAGATTTGTTGGAGGTCTCAAAACACTCAAAAATGAGTATTTTTTCCCCCCACTATATTATTCAAGATTATAACAGGTTAATTCACTTCCTAGGCTGAGAACATTTGTTTTCTTGCAAACACATCCCAAAATGAAGCCTATGGGAAGGGAGGAAGTTAAACCCTCAGTGCAACACTCAAATAAAGAACTAGTTTAAAACTGAAGAGAAAAAATTTTCAGAGGAGAAAAGCTGCTGAAGCAGAAGGAAGTCATTTACAGACATCCCATAATTTTTAAGGGGAAGCAGAGAGTTGAGCAATCAGAACTCTAATGTACTGAAACTTTAACAGTGAGCTTGGAAGCATAGCAAAAAAAATGACCTTACCAAGGCATGATTAATCTGGAGGCTGTGCCAGGAAAAGCCAAGTTTCCCAGTTTTACAGCAAAAATGGCCGAGATTTGAGAAGGGAAATAGAGAAATACAAGGAATTTTAGTGGGGAAGCATCACCAGGGATCTACTGTGTCCAGTAGTGACCTGCTGTGTCCAGCTCTGGGGTCCAACATCAGAGGGATGTGGAGCTGCTGGAGCAGATCCAGAGGAGGCCATGGAGATGCTCCAAGGGCTGGAGCCCCTCTGGAGCCAGGCTGGGAGAGCTGAGAATGTTCATCTGGAGAAGAGAAGGCTCCAGGGAGACCTGAGAGCCCCTTCCAGGGCCTAAAGGGGCTCCAGGAGAGCTGGAGAGGGACTGGGGACAAGGGATGGAGGGACAGGATAAAGGGGAACAGCTTCCCACTGCCAGAGGGCAGGGATGGATATTGGGAAGGAATTGTTGGCTGAGAGGGTGGGGAGGCCCTGGCACAGTTTGCCCAGAGAAGCTGTGGCTGCCCCTGGATCCCTGGAAGTGTCCAAGGCCAGGTTGGACGGGGCTTGGAGCAACCTGGGCTAGGGGAAGGTGTCCCTGCCCATGGCAGGGGATGGGATGAGATGATCTTAAAGGTCCCTTCCCATCCAAACCATTCTAGGATTCCATGATACAATTCCATATAAAAGAATGTGATAAATTGAGTGGGATAAAAAAATTGAATTTGCTGGAAGTCTGTGGTGACATTTCTTCCTATCAACCCTCCCAGATTGGAGCAGGGTCAGATAAACAGGACAGTCCTCTTAATCACCTTAATTTACCTTTTAAGCCCCTCTGTTCTATGTGGTGCCTCCAACATTGGCCCAGGAGCCCTGATGGTGATCCTTCGTCTTGGTGGAAGGTGCCCCTGCCCGTGGCAGGGGGTGGGACTGGATGAGCTTTAAGATCCCTCCAACCCAAACCATTCCAGGATTCCATGAAGTCCCACCAAAACCACCTATGAGTGGCACCCAACAGGGCTTGGTGCTGACAGGCTCCAAGTTAAACAACATTTATAAACCCCTTGTAGCCCACCTGGCCCAGGAAGAAAACACCATTTGTCACCTTCCTGCTTATCTATTTCATTAGACAACAAAAAAAAGAAGTTAAATTATATTTTTCCACTTAAATCTGCAGCACGAAAGACCCACTCAAATTATTTAGTTTCCATAAGTAACTGCACACTATTCCTGCAGACAGATTTTATATTTACAGGTATCCAGACAGATTTTACACACACCTATCTACATAAAGGCACACACAGACACACATATCTCCTATTAAAAAACAGAAAATACAGCTTTAAATCCTCCATGAATATTGAGCCTGCAGCTACAATGAAACTCCTCTGTTAGGAGGGGTGAAACAGTCTCCAGATGAAAGTAGATTTTGAAAAATTTTTAGAGCCCAGGGGTTCATTTTTAATGAGCCGTTACTTTAAGTACTGCATAAAAAATACAAGAAATTGATAGTCCATTTAGCCTGCACTATACCTAATGCAAAAGTCATTAAGATGCATTATTCTTAATGTTTATGATATGATCAGTAAGTGTACAAGTGTCTTTTTTTTTTAAAGTCAAGCATGTCCATATATCTCATGTGATACAGTTTTTAAACACCTACATTTAACCCAGGAATATTCAATTCTGGACTTAACACAGGGAAATATTGTCCAGTGCAAACTCTGTTAACACCGGTACAGGGAAAAATACACCAAGGAAAAGTGATAAACATGGGGGAAAAAAAAAAATCAGCATTTTTTATACTGTACCTACATAGGACAGCATGGCCTTCATCTCCTCATCACTTCTGACCGTGATCCGGTCACCATCCTCATCCTCATCTGACAAAGAAATGCATGACACACATCAATAAGGGAAGCAGGATGCTCTTAACATTCTTGATATTTTAAATTTTTTTAACTGTTTTTAATATTTAAATATTAATTTTAATATTTAATGTTTTTACCCGGACTTTTAGAAGCAAATCAAAACGAGCAACGTAAAAGCACAAGTACTCTGAGACAGCCACATGTAATGACTCCAAACATTAATTAACAAAAACTAAAGTTCTGCTTAAAGCAAAGTGCTCCTAACTTTGGTCCCAACAGTTCTTTTGGTGCCAGAACCTCCCCGGACGTCGAGCACCTTCCACGTGCTCTGAGCCCTCACCAACACCCACCAAGGGGTTCTTTTGACACAGCAAATGGAAGGGTGAAGTTTGAGTGTGTTTAAGTTCTCCCAGATCAAGCTAAGTTTGGGCAGTCTCCTTGGAATTCATTGTAACTGTCATTGGAGGTTGCCCAGAAAACTTGTGGCTGCTCCTGGATCCCTGGAAGCGTCCAAGGCCAGGTTGGAGCAACCTGGGATAGTGGAAGGTGTCCCTGCCCATGGTAGGGGGATGGGATGAGACAATATTTTGAGTGGCTTCCAACCCAAACCATTCCATGATTCTAGGAATTCCTAGAAATTAAAAGAAAATTAAAAATATAATTGCATTCCTCCCATTAAACCCTCCTGTTTTAAAGCCAACCCCACCTGAACTCACCTGCAGGAGGTTCCCCCCAAGCCTCTGCCCCACTAATATAAATAATACTAATATAATTATTAGTATATATTCCATCAGCATAATAAAAGGGCCATTATGGATGAAAACTCCCTCCTGCTCCCAGTTATGCACAAGAATCAGGGCCAACTAAGGAAAACTGGGGGAGAAAAGGACGTTGTCCATTTTGCCTCTGAAAACCTCACAAGCAAATTCTGAGGCTTCAACAAAAAAGAGCAAAACCATAAAACCCTCGGAATTACACTTCTAAAATATAATGGGAGAGATGCTGGAAGTGTGGAAGCTGGAAAAGGGACTGGAGAGCAGAGATATGTCCCAGCAGAGCCTTTTCTCATGGAAATTTAACTGGTGCACTGCCAGACTGTTCAAACTCCTTGGAATGATGGAATTCCAGGAATGATGGGAAGATTAGGAAGAGCTGGTGAGTTGACACTGAAATGCTTCCCTGCCTGGAAATGTCAGAGGCAGAAAGGAGGAGGAGCTGTAAAACTGCTGCCTGGCCCCAACTCAAGTCCCAGAGTGGAACAGAGTGGGAAGGGCTGGAAAAGCAGCTGCTGGAATAGGGAACACAACAAACACCACAGCAAGGAGCAGAGGGAAAGCAGAAAGAGGGGAAATATATAACAGAGAGGGGGGAATATATGGGTAAAAGCTGTTAAACAGGCTTAGTGTGAGGGAACAGACTGAGCTGGGACCACCAAAAAAAAAAAAGAAAAAGAAAAGTGGGAAACTCTGGCAAAATGCTCAGAAAAATCCCACTTTATTCACTCCAAATGATTGGGAAATTAACTCCAGTGTTCTGAGAGCTGCAAAATTCCTGATGGTGGTACAAAGGGAAGAAATATAAAATGCGTGGATGAAAAGGTATAAAATGTTAACTGGCACTGAAAAAGCTGAATATAAAATAATCAGAGAGCAAAAGCAGCAGAAAAATCTGCTTTGCCACCCCACCATGGCATCTAAGAGGGCACAGCCCAAAAACTCCCTGGGCTCAGGAAGGTTTCCAGGCTCCTCTCCGTTTTCCAGCACATCAGGGAAGCAAAAGTAGAACCCAACAAATCCTCAGGTCCTGGCTGGATTTTTCAAATGCCACTTTAAAATGGAGGGAGAAACCCTCACAAGACACCAAACAGTGCAGCAGATGGCAAACAAATATCAGGAAGCAATCTTCCCAAAATCTGCAGCGTGTCACAAATCCACAAAATGGCAGAGTTTGGAGAAAAGGATCATAACAGGCCATATGTTGGGAGGGAGTTTGTTGGGAGGGACGTGAAATTCAGTGGTAAAATCACATCCAGGTCCAACAGGAGGAGAAGTGCAGCCCCAGGTAGGACACTGGGGATAACAATAACTAAACAGAGAGCAGAGAAGCCTGTGCTGGATGGGAATTATCCCCATCTGAAGCAGTTGAGAACGAAGCTTAAGCTGGTAAAATCCAGGCACTGGAGATGGAAAAGGTCCCCAGGAAAAAAAAAAGAAAAAAAAAACACAACAAAAAAGAAATCAGGCATCAATATCCATAACATATTTTAGATGCCAGTTAAATGGCAGGGGAAATGGCTTTGTGCAGATGTAAATGACAGACTAGAGACATGAAGGGAAGGCACAGAAGCAGATGTTGGAAGACACGAGGAAATCAGTATTTCCAGGAAAAGTTCTACACATGGTCCCATTAATATGGGCTACTGCCCTGATGGCAGAGGCTGCTGCTGGTGCATGAAGTTCAAACACAGCTAATGTGTGATGTGGGAGGTGTGCAAGAAAATATTAGCAAATAAAAATGAATATAAGTGGCAAGGTCTGGTTTTGCTCAGGTCCCTGCAGAAAGTCTTGTGTTAAAAAGCAGAGCAGGAGAAATGTCGTGGCAACTGGAATAAAACTTATCTCCATTCTTAGTTTTGTGGTGTTTCAGGAGGGGAAAACTCAATGATGTGAAAAGCAAGATAAACAGTACTCAAAGGACCATAAAACAATAATTCCTCTGATTATTTATGGACAGAATTGTCCATAAAGCTCTAAAAAAGGGAAGAAATGCTAAGAAGGCAAGGCCCAGTGTTGTACCTGCTCTGTCACTCTCAGTGTCACCACCTCACTCATAGAACACTTTAATCCCCTCCAGCTCCTGCCATTTCATCTCCATCACAGGAAAAAATACAATAAAAATTAAAAGGGAATAACAGGAGTCTTCCCCACTTGGAAGAAAAGCCCAGCTCAGTATTTTGAGACAGATTTTTGACTCCCTTTTGCAGCTTATTCCTCTCCAGACAGGACAATCCCCCAGGAATCCCTCAAAAAACAAGAATAAACAGGGTTCAAAGAACAGATAGGAGGCTAAATCTGCACTAACACCCTCGCTGAGAGGATTAAAATGTTCAGCTCAGACCTACAGGTAGTTTATACTTTTCATTTAATTTGAGCAATATAATTGCACTGAGGAGTCAGAGCACGGGAAGGTCACGCTGGTAATTAAAGCTACTTTGTGGCAATCTGCTCGTTCCAGATGTGATTAAATAATAAAATATTGCTGGGGTTAGTACCGTTATGAAACTCGCAGAAACGCATAAATATTTAACTGTAACACGGGATGAGTGTAAATATTATTTATTTTTAAAATGGCAGCCCTGCAACAAGACAGAGGAGATGGTTTATACGAGTCATACTCACACTCAAAGGCTGTTGTCGTTGCATCTGGCAAAACTTGGCTGATGACATCCTAAAATGTGAAGAAGAACTGGTTATATATCAAAAAAAAAGGGGAAAGCCTGATTTAGAGTCAATCATCTTCATCACTCCCCAGCTGCAGGAAGAAGAGTTAAAACCTACTCCCCACTGCCCCAAAATTACCAACTTTTTAGTGCACAACACAAATCTGTACCAATCTTCTCCTTCCTCCCCACTTCACCTTGAGGAAAACTTGTTTTCTTCCCAAATAACTCCATCAGAATTGTGAACAACTCCGTGGTTGAGACCCCCAAAAATCCAATTTCTGAGTCCAAGCCCCCCTCCCACAACTCACCCCAGTGTGAGAGGGGCTTTCCAGACACAACACAAGACTCAACATGGGGGAAAGGGAATCATATTACAATTACTACACAAATAAATATTATAATACATTATATACATAATCCTAACTATCTCTCCTATGATAAAGCAGTATTTACATTGGATCAAATCTCCTTTCCCTCCAATAAAAGTCCAGAAGGGAAAAAGGAAAGATCCTTTCAGTGGATCACTGGGTGTCTCACACCACCACAGTAGGTTATAAAAAATGTACATCTAACTCATCCAAATCAGTCATAAAAAGAGGTTTATCAATGTTTTTTTGCTTTAAAAAGCCTCTTTCCTCCCTCGGTCCTGTTTATATCCCAATTCCAACAACCCGGTCCAGCACGAGACAACTTCACCCACAGCTCCTGCCTGCAGCTCAGGGTAACAAACAGCTCCCATGGGATCAATTCCAGCAGGAATTGCAACAGGAGCTGGGAGACTGAAGGAATTTTTCCTGTTTTCCCCCCAGGAATGTGGAGGGACTCAGAACGGCATCCCCACATCCTCCCAGCTCCACACAGGCACAAAGTTTGGAGCTTTTGTCAGTGTTAAATGGAATTTAAACTTCTCCAAAAGTCCACAGATGGATTAAAATGCTGGGGGGGGGGGAAATCAGGTTAAAATAGTGGGAGAAGATCAGGTTAAAAACCCCAAAGAAGTGAAGGTTAAAATACCCAAGGAAGTGAAAGCCTGAGCATCACAGCACGACAATTCCTCCCAGATACATCCAACACTCCCCAGGTTGTGGGATCCCTCAGATCTCACAGATCTGAGCCAAACCAGGAATTTTTTGCTGACACAAGACAAGAGCTTCTATAATTTTTTAGCCTTTTCCCAGAGCCCTGAGCCCAAAGGCAGCGAGGGAGGAGCAGCCGCTGTCAGCCCTGGGAGGCTCCATAAGTCATGTCAGGGCACGGCACAAATTCACAGCGTGGCTTTTTCCCTCCCCGCTGCTGATTCCTCGTGTCAGACAATCTCTCTGACACTGACAGTGTCACTGAGTGATTAGAAATTAATGAAGAGCAGGATTTATTGCAGCATCTCGGGGTGCTGAACCCCCCCGCCCCGTGATCGCTGCCCTGTCGCTTCTGCTGCCTCCTTTTTTTTTTCTGTTTCATCTAAAAATACGAAATTAAAACATTCTGTGTCTTTTCAGAGAGACACAATTAATAAAATGAGAAAGCAGCAGTGGCAGCTTTAAGATTTCCACAGAGCTGACTGAAGGAAATAATAATAATAATTCTCAAAACTTTTCTCGTGTCGTCTTTTCATTTCAGACGCTCAAATAAATCAATGTGTGCCATTTAAACTACTAATTGTACATAAAAGATGTGCAATACACCTTAGCCAATGATGGAATCATAAATTTGTGAAGGCAAAAGAGAAAAAAAATCCCCAAACGTTGCCATGTTAACAAAATTTGGCCATTTTAACACTTCTTTAATACAGGGTCTGTCAGTCCTCTGTCAAAAGCCAACCACTATTCCTAATAAGAAATTAAAGTCTTGCCTAAACAGAAGGCTGTACTAACTAATTATCCCTAAATCCTTTCAGTTAACCATCAAAAATTCCTCAGGAAAAACACTTTAATTGTGTTAGATTTAAGCCACTTGTAAAATACTCTTATATGGGCACGCAGATGCTTCCATGAAATGGATTTAAAAATTGTTCTGGGGTATTTAAAAACTGTATTTAATGGGTGTGCAAGCACAGCCCTGAGACAGAGACACTTCTGATGGCCCTAAAAGTCTGAAAACAAGACTCCCAAAGCTGTGATAGCTCTGGAACAGTGGTAAAAAATTCTTACACCTCCTCCTCCCCCGTTTAAAATAACTTTTTCTGTATGTTGAGACTTCTTTAATATGAATAATTAACAAGTAAGTGAATTATCCACCATAACTCTTACACTAAATAAACAATTGACAAGAAAACCCTCCCAACAGCCACAAAACCTGTGCTCAGCTTACAGTAATTCTATTAAATCAAAGTATCTGAGAAAACCAGCCTTGCAGGGAAGGAGAGGGAGGGAGGGAAATCCCCCCATTATTGGGCTGGAACCAAAGCGTTTTCAGCAGCTCCAGGAGATTTCCACACTCAAACATCCCCCCCAGACCTCTGGGTGACCCAAGCTTAAAGGATTACTCCAAATTTCAAGGGATTACACATGCAGGGGGATTTTCTACTATCACAACAGAGATCAGGAATAATAAAATGCCACAACTCGGAGGCTCACAAACATCACAGCTCCTGTTTTAGCTCACAGGGCTGAAAAGCCTCCAACAAGGAGGAGGGAAAAAAAAATCAGGGAAGAGCAGCTGCAAGGGGAATTCCATCAAATGTGCCCTCTGGAAGAGCGGTGGGGTGGGAAAGCACAAAGTGTGAAAGCCCTGCCCCGATGGCAGTGTAAATATTGAGGGCACAGCTCTCACCTTTCACTGGGAACTTGTTTTATTTCAGCATAACATGAAGTTCTCCAGAATTAACACCAAGTTGCTTAAACACCCCAGTGACAGGACAAACTAATGGAGACAGCCCCACACGAAAAAAAATAAGCTTACTGTAATTCATTTAGTGGTGCCTTAAAAATAAATCTATTTACTGGGAACTTACAGGTCTGCAAAGCTGATGCACAGGGAAGGTATTTAAAGTGACATTATGGAGAACAGCTCTGAGCAGCCACTTCAGGAAAGTAATCAAGAAAGTGCCTAATTTAAAGCACAAGGTGCTGCTTCCATGGATCACACACCTGCAGGTGCCAGGATTGAATCCCTGCTGCTCAGCTTAGGAGCAGGAAAAACTCCTGCAAAAGGCAGAACTAGAGCAGCTGAAAATTAACAAGTGTGTCAGGCATTGCTCTGAGCATCAGGCTCCTGACTCCAACTGGTTACTCCATGGCTATGGACAGGATACTTGGGGATGAACAGGATATTTGGTGACTCCACACAGCTTCTTCTGTGGAAAAAGGAGGATGGAAATATTCTTGCACACCAGCCTGAAATGCTGCAAGGCTGCACTCATGTGTATTCACACGGCCATCTGCATTTCTAGGATGCTAAATTAACAACAATCACCTTAAAAATATAAAATTTTTATTTTTAAATAATTCTGCTGTTCTCAAAGATAATTTTAAGGGGCTTTCTTAACACAAAGCAACCCATGGGACCTACCTCAGAAGGAAGAGCAGCCCCAGTATGCAGCTAATCCAAGGCTCCCCCAGCCCCAGTTCCCTCCAGAGCAGAAACCTGGGGTGTGCAACTGGTTTTTGGAGCTGGTTGTTCAGCTGAAGGCAAGGCAATATTCCCATCAATCTCCCTGAAGCACAGGCACAAGGAATGGGATGGATTCTGATGTGCTCTGCACAGCCCCACAGGGATTATACAGAACTTCACTGTGGCTCAAACAGCAGGAGCTGAGAAAAAGGGGGTGTCTGCCCTTCCTGGGCCTTCAGTTTAGGGACATGTGGGCAATCCAGGGGCTCTGACTGGGTTATCACCACTCTGTAATTCCCATTAGCAGGGAACACCTGAATTCTCCACGTGCTCTTTAGTTGTTACTAACACACAAACCCACTTGCAGGTGAGTGGAATCAGGACAGCAGGACAGCAGAAGGCTGGGTCAGTCCCTCTCCTGCCCTCCCCACCACACTCCAGGCTCCTCCCCAGCCACAGGTGGTGATGGATCTACCACTCCTTAGTGGCTGGAGCATTATTTCATTGAATTTCTGTAGTTACCAGACAAATGAATATTGTGATGGCACCTCCTGAAACACCATCAGGCAAAGGAGGGCCTTGAGACAGTTTAGACCTTATTAAACTTCTCCCTTCTGGTCTGAAGGTTTCACAGTCCACAAGGGAGGGGTTTTGACATGACAATGACAATTACTGACTGGTGGTACTGCCCAGCTGGAGTGTCACAGCACCTCTCATCCCCACAGCCCAGAGTCCCACTGATGGCAGCAATGGCATCACCTCCTGACTCACCACATGTCACTCAACACTTCCAGTCGCCTCCAGCTGCCACCAACACCCTCAAGGCCACAGACCAAGAGTGGAGAACTAAAAATTATCAACACCAACAGAAATCTGACCTGATGCACAACACTGGGATAGGCTGCCCAGAGAAGCTGTGGCTGCTCCATCCCTGGAAGTGTCCAAGGCCAGGTTGGAGCAACCTGGGCTAGTGGAAGGTGTCCCTGCCCATGGCAGGGGGTGGAATAAGATGCATTTTAAAGGTCCCCTTCAACCCAAACCATTCTACAATTCTATGATTAATGAACACAACTGTAATGAGAAACTGTGAGTTTTAAGAAAACCAGCAATGTTTGGTCCTGGCAGGTTCCACCATCATGTGCTGATTGGAGCAACAACCACCTAAGCCATGAAACAGGAAAGTCAACCTGCTTATAACTGGAAAAATACATCTTTAAAAGGCTGGTAGAGCTGCTGGATGGCTGCAAACCAACAACAATAATGAGAATCAAAATTGTGTGTGGAGGGAGAAGAACTAAAAACCTCTTCCTTCCTCAGTGACATGCCCTTCTTCCTTATCTCTTCACTTCTCTCACACTCTCAGTGACCAGGAAGCTCCACTTCCACATGACTCGAGGTTACTGCAAGTGTTGGGCGCTCCTCGAGGTTTCATGTCATCCACTGACCTCAATTTCTCTACTTATTTTTAAATAATACAACCAACCCTAAATTTCCAATAATTCTAGAATGCCAAAGGATAGTCTAATCAATTATTATCTCACTTTATTTGGGGGAAAAAATGAAAAACACGAAGCAGAGTGTGGATTAAACCCGACTCAGATTTGCACCACTTTGTTTGAAGGGCAGAGTGGGTCATCCCAGGCTTGTTGTGCAACCAAAGCAAACTCACAGTAACCACCAAGGGGAAACTGCCCTTCCAAAAACCTTCACTGATCTCTCAAAAGTTCTGCTGCTGCGCCTCCATCCACAGAAAGTCTTGGATAACGCCAAATGTTCGGAAGAATGAAACCAGGAACATTTCCCACCTGCTCCAGTTACCTGTGCAACCTCCTACAGGCCCAATATCAAATGTTTTGCAGCAAATCAAGCCCTGATTTGCCACGTTTCTTCTCAGTAAAATGCAACACTTTGGAAGAGATCTGCAGAATCTCTCTCCAACATTAATAACAAGAGAAGAAATTAAACATGCACATGATCAGTGGTGGGGGGAAGATTGTCTTCAGAGGAACAGGAGCACAGGGAGTCTCTAGCAAGGACGTGTTGTGGAGGGAACACGAGGACATCCTGCAGAAAGTCTGACCTGCACGCAAGGATCAGACATTTCCTTGGGCTAAGGATGCAATGAAAAAGAGACACTAAGTGGGATAAACACCATTTCTGAGGAAAGAGAGGGTCTTTGTACACTTGGGGTGCAGATGGAGGTGCTGAGGTCAGAGGAGACACAACAACCTCCCAGCCCAGCAAGGGCAGCATCACCAGGAGCAGGTGAAGCCCCAGCCCGAGCCGGGAACGCGCCTTCCCAAACCACAACTGTTTAAACCGCCCTAAAGCCCCGCCTTGCCCTCGCATCCAGCGGGGGATGCCCTAATGCCGGATCCCTGCCCGTGGCACGGGCTCGGACCTTTAGGGGAGCCTCCCAACCCAACCCATCCCACGGTGCTCCTGCCTGGGGACCCCCGCGAGGAGCTCGGCTCTCGAACCCCGTGGGGGGCGCGGGAGGTGATTCCTCACGGGGCTTCCCGTCCCCCTCCACCTCCTTCCCATTAAAACTTCCCGGCGCAGACACGACAACGCCACCATCGTGCCACCCCTTTGCGGTCGCACCCCCGGGCACCGGGGGGGGGGGGGCTCCGGGCACTCACCAGCACATCCCTGAAGAGCAGCTGGGGCGCGGAGTGCACGGTCCAGTCCACGGCGGCCCCGTCGGGGATCTTGATGCGGATGACGAGCGCCTGGGCGTCCATGGCGCGGGAGGGGCCGCAGAGCAGCCAGAGCATCCCCGCCCCGGCGCTCACATGCTGCGGCCGCCCAGGGCTCCCGGGCCCGGCTCCGCCGACAGCCCGCCCGCCCGCAGGAAGGAGCCGCTGCCCCGGAACCAAAACGGCGGGAGGGGATGGATGTGCGGCGGGGGAGGAGGAGGAGGAGGAAAGGGAGGAAGGGGAGGCGGCGCCATGTTCGGCGAGGAGGCGGCTCCAGGTTGGGAAACCGCCCCGGGCAGCGGGAGCGCTCCGCCGGTGATTCCGCCCCCTTATTCCTTGTGTTATTCCTTGTGTTTGAACAGGGAAAGCGGCGGATCAAACCGGGCTGGGGTTGCCGTAAAAGCAGCGCCGTGTTCGCAGTGCCCAGCGAGGAATTGGGGTCCGCACCCCGAGAGCCCCCGGGGCTTCTGCCCAGGTTATTCCGTCCCACCCAAACACACCGGCAGGGACCAAACGCGAGTTTTGGTTGGAATGAACCGCCCCGGGAGCTGGTGGAGTCACCAGGGAAGCGTTCCCGAGGCACTTGGGGACGTGGTTGAGGGGGGTGGTGTAGGGGACAGGGTGATGGTTGCACTGGATTTTTAGTATCCCTGGATTTTTAGTCTCCCCCAAGCTCGATGATCCGGTGGCTCCGGGAGTGTCCCGCTCGCCCGGTGTGTCCGCCTGTGCCTCCCTGCACAGCACTGGGAATGGGCTGCCCTGTGTTCCGCGACAGCCCGACATCTGTATTAAGAGTTAAGTATTGGAGCAGTTTTACCAACATCACTGTTTCCAAATCACAGAACTCTCAGCTAAACGCCTCCTTTATTGATACCCAGATGCGATTCTGCCATCGCTGAGCTCTTCCGTGGCTGTCAGGGATGCCGGGGAAACGAGCCCAGTCCAAAACACGACCCAGCTTTGTGAGGAGAGAAATCCCTGTTGAACTCTCACATCCCACGTCCTTCACGGCAGCAAAGAACGTGTTTTGACAGCTCAACCCCGAGCCGTGACACGCTATATTCAGCTTTTAAAACAAGCTTTTCACCTGACACCAGTGACAGGGAACGCTCTCCTCTCCTCACAGCTCCAAACCATCCACTTCTTTTTATTAACAGCAGAGCATTAATCTCAATTGTGGGCTATTGATCTGTGCATTTTATCACACTCTCTCGCATTATCATCTACGACAAACTGGACTATTTGAGTTATATTATCAATTTAGAGTTGGGGGGAAGTGGGAGGTATATTTGATTTAATTCCTGAAACATCTTCAAGATTCCTCTTATTCGAATTCTACTTTGTTTGAGCTTTAGGAGAAAAAAAAAAAGATCTTTCAATGGCCATTAACAGAGATAAATTTTCTCTCTGTTCAATAACTTTATAATTTAGTTCCTACACTAAAAATTAATAGAGCCCCAACTCCTAAGTATCTAAGGGACTGGTGCTGCCCACACAGACGTCTTTCTGTTCAAATGAACCTTTTACCTGCAGTCCCTGTGTACCTTTCACTCAGGTTCATTTCAATCAGACTCATTTTCCATTAAATTTTAAAGAATAGGACACAAAATGAGAGAATTTCTATAGACTCGCAATTTTTCTAAAATGTCTTTTTCATTTACAAGGCTATGGGGAAAACCAACTCAATTTGCCAAATTTGCATAAATATTATGTAGATTTTTCCAGGGCTAATCATAACCTTAATCCCCCATTCTGATTTGTGTAATCAAACTTGAAGGGGTTTTATATCTTAAGATATAAAATCATGTGTTTTTTTGATACAGCTTTGGTTTTGCCAGACTTCTTTAAAACCTATGCTTAATCAGAAATTTTCATTCTTAAGGCACCATTTGAAACAAACAGTTGATATTTATTTTATCATCCCGCAGAATTCCTGCTGTGAGAACAGAATGTCACCAAAATCTAATTCTATGTTTTTATCCTCCACGTCGGGGGAAAATTTGTGATGCAAGAACACAATCTATGATTTTTTTAATACGTATCATAAAATATCCTCAAAGTCCTGTATTTGACCGCCCCGAGAATCTCCTCTTCAAAAGTTTCTGACACAGGAGGTTGAAGGCTCCTAGAAATAAAAATAATTAATTAATTAAAAAATAATTAAGCTGATTTTCCCCACGAAATGCAGCTGCCACTCTGTCAGCAAGAACCACGCAGAGGTTTCCTGTTTATAATTACGCCCCCAAAGTTATTGTGGATCCACAATGCAACAGCATTCAAAACCTGCAAAGGAACAATATATCAGTTCTTTAATTACAGGAGGACGGTGGAGCCTGGGACTGGTGTAAATTCTGGTTGTATTTGTGGGGGGGAAACGTTCTCCAGCAGTGCCAGACTCGCCACTCGCAGTCTGCTGCTGCTCTCTGCTGCTTCCCTGCGCTGTGGAGAGGATGGGGGGGGGGAGCTGGAGGTGGCCACGGCAAGAAAAATAAATATTTATTACCAAGGAAAAGCAAAAATGCTGATGCAGAAGGGCAGGAAAATCATTAGGTTGGAATCTCGCAGGAGTGCTGCGGAAAAATCCCACCGCGCTGTGGTTATCAGGATAATTTCCAAGGCCTTCAAAAAAAGTAAGGAAAGGAGTTATTACTTGTTTAATTCCCACTGCAAAGTTGCCCAACACAAGTCATTTTCTATCTTTGCCACGGATATCATATAATGGAGTTTTGAGTCCCTCCACCAGAACTCCATCAGAAGAAGAGGGAGGAAGGAAGGAGCAATTCCCCTGGTAGTATTCTTGAATATTCCAGGATGTGGATCTGGGTTTTCCTTGCTGTTGCTGGAGGGATGTGGGAGCTCAGTCTCGGGAGTGGATCAGGCTGATGGAGGTGGAAGGTGCCCTGTAAGGAGTTACAGTGTGCAACCAGAATTGGGACCCAAAATTCCTCTAGTCCTGGGTTCAGATCCCTGGATAAAAGGGCAGGAGGCACAGGAAGGATGCTGAGGATGGAGTCAGCAAGTCCTACATTTTCATTACAGCTCCTGCTCAGCATCTCTGGGAATTTAACCTCACTACTACTGGAATTTGCCCACTTATGATCCAGGAACAACATGTATTTACCATGTAACACAGTTCAACAGTTAACATTTAACTATTCAAATGTTTTGGAATGCTGTATTCCCAGTACCTGTTACATGGAATTCGATACAGTGGATGAAACAGACTCCAGGAATGGGGATCTGTGTGCCAGTCCTTGGTTCACTGGATTCAGTTTATCATCTCTGCTTCCTCCCTGTGCCACTTTCTAGGCAGGAATTAAAAATAACAAAGGACAAGCTCTTCATTCCCGAGAAAAAATGGCACCTGATCATCGTTTTAGGAGCCCACATTTTCTTGTCTTTTAGAGAAGATACTAATACTTGTTTATAAAATAATGGATCGTGGTGAAATCCACCTTTTTCTTTCCCTTCCCATGTCTTCCAACAGCTCGGGAGTGCAGCAAACTGAATTCCCTCAGGCTCCTGAAAAAAGTAGGTCAACAGTGTCCAGGCTTTCTAAACATATTCTTCCCTCAAATGCATCTCCTGGAAAGAATCACCAAGTGCTCCAGCTTAATCAATACATGTATGGATTAAGATTCCTTAAAACTGGCATTAAAGCTTCCACAAGATTGCCTCCCCACCAGCCCTTCCAGTTACTCTGCAGTTTCTCTGGAGTAAGAGGCAAAGGAGTGTTTGTGAACCAAATATCAGGAAATAATTGATCTTATTTTCAATTCAAGTTCAATAATTGATCCTAGTTTCAACACACGGGGAGCAGAATCAGGCCTCAAATAGATCTTTTAAAGCTTTTCCTCACAGTAAACTCCTCTTGGAGTAAAAAAACCCCAAAACAAAGGTAGACTTGATTTAGGCTGAATTAGTAATTGTTTAGTTCTTGCTTTAAATAATGAAGATATATTGAAATAAAGCAGATTACACGATTGGAAGGTAACTCCAGCAGTTGGACTGAGCCACAGTGGCTGTGTGTGGTTAATGATGTTCTGTCCCCCCACCAGCTGCAGGGGCTGCATAATTGTTTTTTCTGTCAACCTATAAATTCTTGAGTAACAACAAAATTATTGTGGTTTTTCTTGCTAAATAATTCATATCTCACCAAGCACGTGGACACCCAGGCCCATGAATCACTAAGCACGTTACAATCAGATCTGATGGCATTTCTTCTTGTAACAATAAAAACCAGGTTTGGCTTTGTCATCTTGCTCAAAAATCAGGTGTTAAAATTTAAAATTTACCTTTTAAGCTTGAAGGTTTCCTTGATCAAACTTTTTGTCTGCAGGATTGCTTTTAATCATGTTTTGTGGTGTTAATTCTATTAGGATTATTAACATCACTGAAAGTAATAGATTGGTTTTCTAATGAACTAGAACAGGGCTCATAAACTGTGCTTAAAGTGATGCAATTTGCTTTTGAAATCACTCTACGTCGTGTGTATTTTGCTTTTTAAAAGACTTAAATGCAAAACCAACATCTTATTCTTTTCTAGAAATAAATCTTTTAAACAAAACTTGAGATATATTAGTGACAATTTTAATTCTACATCCCCTTGATGCAATGCTGGAGTTGCCACTTTTTCTTAGGTGTATTTAAACTGAAAAATACAGCCCAAAAAGTGTAACCTGACATCTGTTTCCAGAGCCAGGGAAAGAAATCAAGACAACTCTCAGATTTATTAACTTACTTCTCTGCAGTGAACATGAGTAAGGAGCTACAGCAAAAGGCAATTTAAATTAAATGGCCAAAGTAAATAATATATGAAGCAAATTCTCCTTTGTTTCAGGCAAAGTGGCTTTAAAGCAGAAGCCTGAGGGCATTCAACTATTAAGAAATAGCTAAATTTTATTCAATAATAATGTACATCAGGGAGATCTTTAATTCTGGTTTGCAAAGAGATTTAGGTCAATACAAAAGGTAAGTTGAGGACAGATCCAACTTCTGCTCAAGTCAGTGGAAGGTCAGGTGGCTCCAGGTGTCCCTGAAGAGTGAAGAAATGATTTTTGAGATAATAAGAGAGTACTAATCAAAAACACTTGGGAATATCAATCCTGACTAGGATCTAAATCCAATATTAATTTACAATGGGAAAGAAAGGTAAGAACTTCATGTCCACCTGGAGGTTTAGCAAGGAGGTTTTACATCAACAAGGAGTGATGTTATATCCAAAAATATTTAAGCAGAATGAGCTGCCTGGCCCATGTTTGCATTCCTAGTCACAAAACTCTTTCAAACAACTAAATCACCTCTGTGTTACCACCATTGGAAGGAGACACCACCAGAAAAAAAAACATTTCCTGGGGTAACTCTCATTAGAGCTGCAGAGAGTCTGTGGTGAAACATTTGTCAAATGTACAAAAAAGGTATAAAAGTGAAATATAGTAATTAAGACCTGGGCTTTATCGATTGTGGGGCTTAAGTCATTTTTCACAGCAAACATAAGATTTAATAAGTATAAGTAGTTAAAGCTCCTGCCTTGGCTGCTCTCATTAGCATGTCATTGAACCAGTAACAAAGAGCAGCTCCACGTGTGTTGATTACCACCTTATCTTTGAGAGGCAATTAAGGGCCTCAATCATCACAACAAGATTTGATTGTGCAGCCTTTATTGGACATTGATCTTTCAGCAGAGCAGTTACATTTTCCATTAATTTACAGTAGCACAGTTTAACTGGGATACCTGAGCCCCCTGACCCCGGGTGAGGTGGAACACCAAGAGCTCCTGCGGGTTAAGATGCCCCCAACAGTCATTATTGTTTAAAGAGATGCTACAAGGAGGAGCCACCTGATCCTCTGGGTTTAGGCTGAGGTTTCATCTCTCTGAAGTAGTTAAGTGAGGTGAAACAAAGCTCTCTGCCTTTTTTAACATCAGCTCTCCCTCATTTAAACATCATTCTTGAATAGGACAGAGATAATTAAGGCTTAGGAGATGAACTCAGAGTTTGTTTCAAATGGAAGAGCAAACCTGTAAAAGCAGAAGGGTCATTTTGTGGATCAATTATTCCCCCCCAAGAAAGTTTTGGGACAAGGTGCTGTGAATCCTCTTGGCCCCCAGTATTTCCATCCTGCATTCAAGCCAAAACCTAAGTGATAAAAAACAGACACTAAGCAGCATGTACTTATAGCAAAAGGAGAGTGAAAGTCAGATGAAACATTTTACCTTTGAAAAAAGCAAGTAGGTTTATATTCATACTTGAAAATTATTATAACTCCAGCATTATCCCTTATAAACAGCCTACTTTCCCTCCGAAATCCTGTAAGAGCTCCCACACGAGCCTTAATGAAAGGAATAAATGATATTATATTTGCACTCTGCCCTCAGACATCTTCCAGTTCATCCTTTAGCACGATCAGCTCCGTAAGAGCAAGAGGTCTATTGATTTTCATGTAATACAAGAAAATATTACATTTGCTTAATTGTTACACAGTGAGATCATTGAACAAGAAATCAGGGCCCTATTTAATGCTGTGAGCAGCACAGAATTGCAGGGATCAATAGGGTAGTTTGTCAGAGATGTTCTCCAAGGAGCCTTGCCCATCACTGTATGGACAAGGAGGCGTGTTGCCTGCAGTTATTGAAAAACAGGTAAGCAAAGTCAGCAGTGCCCATTATCAGAAATCAAACAAGCTGCAGTGAGAGCAACACCAGCTCCAATGAAGTGCTGTATTTATGGTCTGGTAATTAAAAACCATTTTATCAAGCCTGTGTTGAGCCCAAACCTTTCCAGCCGGGTATTGACGAGCTCCGTGGCAATGAATGAGCAGTATTTGACTTTAAACTTATGAGCTGCAGTTCTTTCAAAGGGAAAAATCAGCTCTGGGAAGATGCTACCAGCAACTTTTATTGTTAATGAGGGTTCTTGTAATCCCATCTCTTCATCTTGGAGACACAGTAAACTTGTGTCAAGACCAGGCTCCAAAATTAAACAAAATGAAACTTCTCTGATTGAAGTGTTTAGTGTCGCTTTTAGCAAAGCTGCACTTCATTAAGTGGGAAACACTTCCACGGAATTCAGGAGAAAAGTATTTAAATGAAATTATACTGTAGTCAAAGCTTGATAATAATTTACTGAGGAGCAGAGATTACCCTCCAAAACCAGCACCTTCCCATTTTACATTTATTTTCCCACTTATGAAAACTGGAATGACCAACTTACATCACCAGACGTGGGATTTGGAACCAACAGCATTATTTGCTGGGACTCAAACCAAGCACCAGTAATAGATCCTGTACAGGGCTCTCTGTTGTTTGAAATTAATGTCCAATAATTCCATATTTCCACTATCCAAACAGCTCCCCAAAAGCTTCTTCTCTGCCCAGGTTTCCAACTGAAGTCATTCTGTCATTACATGTGCCTGGAAGTTTTGCTGTTAAAACTGGAGAAATCAGTTATTTGCATCAAAAAAATAAGAGTAGTGTTCTTATTCTCCCGTTTTAATTAAAAATATCAGCAATTTGTAAATTAGCACAGGGGACTGAATCTTCTAGATCACTTAGGTTTTGTTACTTACCTAAAAAGCAATTAAAATTAAAAATAATAACCCATCTGGAGTTTCAAGAATTGCAAAAGATACAAGCATCAAATGTATTTTAGATCTTTTATTTAAATATCATTAAAAGAAATGTGATACAGCCATTTTGAACTTCTCAGGCTCTTCCAGGTGATTGTAAAGTCAGTGCCACAAATTCATTCAGACAAAGTTCCAACTCTAACAATTAGTGCATTGTGAAACATCCTGTCAGAGTCTAAACCTGAGCAGCTTCATCTTTTCAGAGGCATTCTGAAAATGCCAGTGTGTTCATATTCACATTTTACTTGTCCACAGGCAGTTCTCTAATTTGGTAAATGATCTTTAAATTATCACAAGTTTGTCCAGCTGTACCAGTCAGTGACTGCCATAAATACCCTTAGAAATATTAATTCTTCTCCCAAAGCTTCTACCTTTTCAACTTTACTGATCTCTGCAGAAATAAATCTCTCATGACCAAAAAGTCCAGGAAGCTTCTTGAACCAGCACATTAAATATGAGGATGCACTGTAAGAAAATAACAGTTTCCTTCAGTTCTTTTTAGTCAAAGGGAGCAAATATTTGCAGCAGAAACTGTTAAACAACAGGGACTTGAAAGGCCTGAGTTCAGTACATGGCTCCTTCATCTTCTTTATTTAGAAAATAAATAGTAACTGGGCCGTGACTCGTTTGAACAGTCTCTGTGACACTGGCAAAGAACCAGGAGCCAATTCCATACAGTAAAGTTGGGATGCCTAAGGAAAGACAAAAACATGTTACAGACAAAGAGAGCAAGGCAGGGAAAATTAAACTGCACATTGATAGTAAACGATGACTCCAAAATGAAACGAGAGGAAAAGCATTCCTGGAAAAGCTGCTTTATAATTTTGCCTTTCCTCAAATGCAGCTCACAGGACAAAACACCCTTTTCTGTGTGTTGAGCACACAGGAGTCAGGAAACAGCTAAAGAAAAGCAGGAACACACAGGAATTATTAGAAAAAGAAAACAGAAGGATAATGATATGAAATAAGTGAAACATGGTCATGCATACAGCCTGATTTCTACCGATTTTATACATATAAACACACACACACATATATATATATATATAAAAATACTAAACCCAAACTCCCTGGACATCCACTACATTATCAGAGTTTGTCAATGAATCAGAGCAAAGACAGGATGGAAAACAGGCAGTGAGTTCACAGATCAACATGAAGCTGCTCTTGGGAAAACCAGACCCAACCCCAACAGAACTGCAACGGGCAGAAAGGTTTATATACAAAAAGTGACATATTTTTCAGTACTGTCAAGTTACCCATCTATTACAGACAATATTTTATTTATTATAAAGGAAAGATGGAGATGGATTTAGGCTCTGAATTCAGGAAGGTTCAGAAACACCACATTTAACGTGCTTGAAGTTATCCAAATGCTTAAGCAAGATTGTGAGGGAGGAGAGGTGACTTTTTAATCATGTTTTCCCATAATTTAAATCTACATGCAGGGAGACAACTACATCTATCTGTGAGAAAGATAAAAGATCTGACTGGATGGAGGGGAAAAAAAATCCCAATTTAAAGTTGTTCTAACAAAATCAGTCTCTGTGATTGTATTTCATCACTAGATCAGTCTGGAAAGATCAGAAAATGAAGACTAGCAGACATGTTTTGAAAAAAAGTCAACGACCACTTGCGAACTGAGGGAGACTTTTAAAAATTAAATATGAAAACAACAAACTCATGAAATGTTATGCCACTGTCACTATTTATAAGCGTTGTATCCACAGCCAAAGTTTTGAATAAATGTGTTTCAAAACTTACTTATACTTATTTTTATATTAATGATGAAGTGTTGATGGAGCATTTTGATTGTAAGGATTTATATTCCAGCAGCATATAAGGATCAAAGCAGACACTGCCGGTGTGGAAGAGGCAAAGATTAGCCCAGAAACAGAGTTTGGCTTCAGCTCATGTTTGTGTATTCGCTCAGAGGTCAGAACTTCATCCACGGCACCCAGATTTTCAGATGGAAAACGCTCCATGCTAAAGGTGAGAGCCATTTAAACACCAAGCGCTGGAGCGTTTGATTTGTCGCTCTCACAAGTGGCCAGAGAAACACGAACTCGGTCAAACCTCCCCGAGTATCGATTTACAGCTCTGCCTTCTCCCGGAGCCGCAGCTCGGGGGGTTCTCTGAACTCACGGAGCCCGCTCCGGGACAAGGAGGGGGACGAGGGGACGGGGAGAAGGCGAGGGAGAGGGGACAGGGAGAGCGGGGCAGAAGGAGGGGAAAGGGACACGGAGGAGGGGAGAAGGAGAGAGGAATAAGGGACAAGGAGGGGAGGGACAAGGAGAGGGTGGCAGAAGGAAGGGGAGAAGGGCAAAGAGAGGAGGACAAGGGGAGAGAAGGGAGGAGAGAGGGAGAAGAAGAAAGAGAGGGGGACGAGGACAGGGAGACAATGTGACGGGGACAAGGAAGAGAGGAAGAAAAAGAGGGAGAGGGGAACAAGGAGATGGGGACAAGGAGGAGAGGGAGAGGCGGACAAGGAGAGGGGGACAAGGAGGGGGGCCGGAGCTCCCCGCTCAGCGCCGCCGTCCCGGTCCCCCCCCCGCCGCCGCCGCCGCCCCCCTCAGGCTCTGCCCGATCCCGCCCTGCCCTCCCCGGGCTCTCCCCGTCCCCCGCGGCCCCAGAGGGCCCGGCCAGGCCGCGCTCACCGGCGTTGAGCACCTTGAGGGCGGTGAAGGCGGCGTTCTGCAGCGCCAGGTCCTGCGGCGCGGCCCGCGAGCAGTGGTACTTGATGAAGGGGAAGCAGCCGGTGCGCAGCACCAGGTAGTTGGCGCCGTCCACGGGCCAGTTGAAGTGCGAGAGCCCGAACTGGTCGTTGCGCACCGCGCTGTACTTGACGCAGAAGGAGGTCCAGTGGGGCAGCCGGCGCTGCCGCAGGTGCTGGCTCAGCACCTCCGAGGCCGCGGGCCGGGCCGGGCCCGGGCCCCGCCACAGCAGCAGCGCCAGGACCGCCTCGTGCAGCTGCCGCAGCGCCCGCATCCCGCGGGGCCGCCGGGCCGGGCAGCGCCGCGCCTGCGCCGGCGGGCGGGGACGGGCCGGGCCCCTCATGACAGGAGGGACATTGAGGGGGGCTGGAGCAGCAGGAGCGGCTGAGGGAGCTGGGTGGGGGCTCAGCCTGGAGAAAAGGAGGCTCAGGGGGGACCTTCTGGCTCTGCAACTCCCTGACAGGAGGGGGAGCCGGGGGGGGGGGGGGGGCGGGCTCTGCTCCCAGGGAACAAGGGACAGCCTCCAGCTGTGCCAGGGGAGGGTCAGGTTGGACATGGGGAGGAATTTCTTCCCGGAAAGCGTTGTTACACTTTCGAATTGCCTTCCCTGGGAAGTTTGGAGTCCCCAGCCCTGGAGGTGTCCCAGGAAGGCCTGGCCGTGGCACTCAGTGCTCTGGGCTGGGGGACAAGGTGGGCACCGGGCACAGGGTGGGATCCATGGGCTGGGAGGGCTTTTCCACGATTCCATGATTCTGTGACAGACACGCTGAGGTGAAGCGGCCCCACCTGAGGGGTGAGGGTCACCCTGAGCCCCACCCGGACAGAGGGACCAGTGATAACATCACAAAAAAAAGGGCAATTACATTTTTAAAGGGGTTTTGTTGACACTGACGTGCTGCCAGAACCACCTCTGTGTTGCACCTGCAGCATGCACCAGGTTCACCCGCGCTCAGGAGAAAGTGTATTCAGCTATGTTGATTTTATGTAGTGAAAATTAAGTCATACAACTCTAAAAAAATCCTTCTTTCAAGTGTCAGACTCCTTCAAAGAGAAATATTTTAAAATCACACTCCATAACGATACCACCCTAAAAATTCTTCAAGTGTCAGACACCTCTCGAAGAGAAATATTCCCGTATTCCATTTTTCTAAATAAAAGCCAAGGTTTTGAACCATTAAACATTGTATTTAAGGAAAAAAAAGGCAGAAAACTGAGAAATAGAAACAGCTTTTTCCTTTCAATAATTGCAAGCAATATCTCAAACTCAGCAATCTTAAACCACTGAGCTATCTGGTATGAACTTGCTAATTAATCAATTACTACCCAACAACATGCCCTGTTTATTTACTGTAATATACTACTTGTGGGGAGAACCAGTAATTATTCATTGTTGCCAGCAACAAATTTGACTCAAGTTCACCTTCCTATAATTAATGGAGCATATAGTTAGCTTTAATATCTTTATTTATATATATAATATATTTATCTATTAGTGGCAACAGTGACTGAGCTTAGAAAAGTTGGAGTCTGGTACTGTGGGTCATACAGTTGAACTAAGGTATTACAGCTTAAGAGTTACATCGTGGTCACAATATATTAAATTACATTAACAAAGGCTGTCAATGATTGCAGTTCCTAAATCTTTAGTGCTGTAACAAAATCTAAAATGACATACAGAGGATCCATACACTGTAACAGGGGGTGCCTCAGATCTACAGCATCCCAATGTTAAACTGATGTTACTTAAATTGATGTTAAGTAATCACTGTGAAATGCTGAGGACCAGGTTAGTCTTAAAAATCCAAGGATTTGTTACCTTAACCTGGCTGGAAGGGGGTAAATTCTCCTGAACTGTCCATTTCAATGAGGTGGATGTGCTGAAGAACTGCATTTTTGCTCTGTGCTCAAGAGTTGTCATTCTAAATGTAGCAACGTGGCTGAATGTCTTAGTTTTTTTTCCTTTTATGCAGGGCTTTAAACCCAACTACCTAAAACAGGAGCCCCAGTTTCCAGTATCATCAACTCCAGGTAATGTTCCCCCAGAAGAATGACCTCTCTCCAGAGAGCACATCAATTCTTGCAAAACCAAAATCCACAAGGTGCTGTCAGCTGAACACACACCTTCATTTCCAGCTGTGGACATCACCTTTTTTTTAAAAAAAGATTTTAATTTCATTTCCTATCTGCTGTATTCCTAAAACCCCGAAATTTTTGGCACCAACAGCATGGGAGTGGAATGTGAGAGACTGTCAAGCCGTTTCAATCCTTCCCTCAGCTCAAGGCTCAGAAGTGTTAATAGTAATTAAAAACTTTTTTTTTCCCCCTCCAAATACATTTCACACTTTGCACATGCCGAGAAATCTCTCTCACCACGGGAACTTTCAGGTCACTTGTTTCCTACAAAAACAGGTACAGTTTTCTTTTGTCAGGATAGAACAAAGCCAGAAGGAAGTGCAGGTTTCATTTCCTCCCAGGACACTGCAGTCTATTAAGTGCCAGTGAACTAATGAGCCTCTCAGACCTTATGTTGTTCTGGCTTGGATCAAGGCTTGGTTTTCCTTAACCCTTCAGAATCCAGCTCAGTTCCACCTCAGAAAAATCTGTGTGGGCTCTGCTATATCCAAATCCAAGATTAGATTGAGATTACGTATTAAAAACGAAAAAAAAAAAACAAACCAGGAATTAAACAAAAATACTCTCTTGGATTTTTGTCTGAAGCAGGGATCAGCATTTATGCAAATGTTCTCATGTGCAATTAATTAATTCTGTGACCAAAGTGGAAGAGAAAAAGGCTACACAAAAGATAATGTGGGATGTTCAAGGATCAAAGACTCAGCATTGGAAAAACTGGGCACAGATCTGGTGCAACTGCTTGGTCACATTCAGTGTTTGTCTTAAAACTGGTTTTCCCTGAGTTTTTTGGGAAGTAATCTCAAAGACATGTGCCATGCTTGGGATAATAGTCTCCATCCCATGGAGAAGATGCTATAATATAAGAAGATTCTATAATAAAATTCAGAATGTGTTCTCTCTTGGAATACTAAAGATAATTTTAAAAATGTAACTGTTGGCCTTAATATAGTGCACAGCAACTATGACAAAAAAATCTGAAATAACAAAATCTATCTGATGGAGAGACCTGCAAAAGTAATGGAATCCTGGGAACCACAGTGCAAGTGGAATTATAATGGTCCTTGCAGGATTTATTGATGAATTAGTTCTATTAGTGTTATTTTTGATAATTTGAAAATGAACACAAAACAACTGCTGCAAAAATCTGTAGATAATGGAAATGGCAGCACAACAATAAGGACAGTCAGTTCCAAGAGGAACATGGTTTGCTGGGCTGACTGAGAAGATGGTTTTTAAATTAAGGTGGCACTTACAGGCAGAAGAATCCTGGAATGGTTTGGGTTGGGAGGGACCTTAAAGCCCATCCAGTTCCACCCCCAGCCATGGGCAGGAACACCTTCCACATGCCCAGGCTGCTCCAAGACCCATCCAACCTGGCCTTGGACACTTCCAGGGATCCAGGGACAGCCACAGCTTCTCTGGGCAACCTGTGCCAGGGCCTCCCCACCCTCCCAGCCAAGAATTCCTTCCCAATCTCCCATCTAACCTGCCCTCTGGCAGTGGAAAGCCGTTCCCTGTGTCCTCTCACTCCAGGCCCTTGTAAATAGTCTCTCCCCATCTTTCCTGTAGCTCCTTCAGGTCCTGGAAGGCCACAGTTAAGTTTCCTCAGAGTCTTCTCTTCTCCAGACCGAACAATCCCAATTCCCTCAGCCTTTCCTCACAGCAGAGCTTCTCCATCCCTCTGATCATCTTGATGCCTCCTCTCAACTCACTCCAACAGGTCTAACACTGGTCCTACTTTCCTGCCAGGAATCCGTGTTTCAGAACACAATCTATTGGAAAGGGAATTTGGGGTCTCAGGGCTCTTTTCAGTGGAGTCTCATCTCCTGCTCTGATTTAGTGACAGTGTGACCCCATTAATAAGATTTTAAAACAAGACACTGAACTTCAGCAACAGGAACACGAGGAGCATCAGGATGATTCCCTGCTCTTCAACAGGGGTTTCTTTGGGAATGAAGGGCTATTCCAAACACCACACCCAGAAATGATGGAGATGTTCTGTCTCAGTTAATGCTGCTTCACACACCAACCCAGGAGGAAAAAACCAAACCTGTTCTTACAGATGAGGAAGCACTTCCAGAAGCATAAGGAATCAGGCACTTAAACATTTTCTGTTAACTATTCTTTCAGAGCATCTGCTTCCCAAGGTTGCTCTTCTTCCAATTTCAGTTTGTTTTCTGCTGTAACTCCTAGAATTGCTTCAATATCTTGAATTGCCATCTGCAAGAGATTCAAGGAATACAAGTTATTTAATGGGCATTATAATGAAATCCAGCAGCCCCAGCTGGCAGTGCCTGCCTGGAACAGGTAAAGAGACTTACACAGGACAGGATGCACCAATTAAATTTACTGTTACTTTGGGGACAGTTGGGGGAATTATTAGTAAATATGTACAAAGCTCAGGTAAATAAAAATACAATTTGTGCTTCTAATTAACTAACAGGTGTTTTATTTCACATATGTTAACTCACAATGAAGAGAAGTTCCCTTTTATATTTTTCTTCGGTGGCTTCTTTTCACTCTCTCACATTGAAAAAAGGGATTTTTTTGTTGTTGTTTATTCTGTAACATTGTGAAATTTAATTATGTCTTTCCTAAAATTTGTCATTTCACACTCTGCTTGTCAGAGGAAAGCCTAGTCAGAGTGGGAAGACTGATATAAATTACGTGATGTGATTTACGATATAAATCTCTAACACCGCTCCCCTCGACCTTTCACAAAACACTCACAGACAGGATCTTAGAAACTTTTTATCAAGTTAAAGGTGATGTAGCTCAGCAAAAGGACTCCCCGTGGGAAGCTCAGCAATTCTCTGGAATGAAAAAGCAGCATTGTGAGGAGTGATGTTCCAGGGCACGGGGTTGGATTCATTATTGCTTTCCTGGCTCCTTTTCCAGCGAGGTCGGCCCAGAGCAGCTCTGGGGGAGAGGTGGGCACACCTGGGGGAACAGCCCCAGCCTGGCCAGCCCCTGGGCTTTGTCCTCCTTCCCCCCCTCCACCCTGGAGCATCCTCTAGCACACGGCTCAGGACAAAGAGCAGAGAAAATTGGGAACAGAATCCACTTGGGAAATCGAGGGACGGGAACTAATGGATTAAGTACGTGGTGGCTGCTGCTTAAAAGAAATCAGTGTTAATAATCCAAGGAGCTGTTATCAACTGGGAAGTTTGTTTCTAATTTCAGATTCTTACCTTGATGGTGTCCCTTGAAAATCAGGCAGGCAATTGTGACAGAACTGTGTGAGGCAGTGCCAACAGCTCCTTTGCTCTTCCAAAGGACACTCGGGAGCATTAGATTACAAATAGTTTCCTGCTGGAGTTTGTCTCTTTTCAAAGCAAAAGTTTCAAACTTAAATTTAACTAACAGGTTCAGTGGGAGGCTGCCTACACTGACCCAGACACTGTAAAACACCCGGCACTAATGATGAAAAGGGAATGGTTTAGCACTTGTTTATGATCCAGCATGAGGTATTTGCAGGCCTTGTACAGAAATTACCCGAGATCGTTAGTTAATTAACACCTCACCTTAAAATTGGTCTCGCCTTGCATATTAGGTGCTGATATTTCTTGATGGATGATGAAGAGATTGCGAGCAAAGGTCAGGAGGACCCCCTGGAGATCCTCTCCGATTGTTCTGTTAATGATATCCAAACAAATGAGTTTCCCAATGATTCCCTTCACATGCTTAAAAACAATCGCCCTCTCATTTGTGCCTGCCTGGTGCTGGAATTTAATGAGGATTTTCAATCTCACAAGGTGGCAATCTTCAGGGAGATATGAAAGATGAGGCTCCATTTTAACTTGTCGACAGGAAGGATTTGTGTAATAAATAATTTTTATTAATCAACTTAAGCAGAAGTAGGCAGAGAGGTTTCAGCTTCCCCAAATAAAAGGCTGCTGTTGAGTTAGGACTGAGAGAGCAAAACACTTTCAACACCCACAATAGTTTAGAAGAACTGTTGCTTCAGCCTAGAATTTGTGAAAGAGAAATGTCAGCAGTGTCAGCATTTCTCAGATTGTTGCAGGTTTTGAGGGTTTGGTTTCCCAGTGGTACATACAGACCTTATGGAACAGGGAATTACACTGAAGAATTAAAGTACCTCATTTACTGGAAGTGACAATAGATTTCTGATGTCATAAAATAGATAATTCTCAGAGATGTTTCAGGCATTAAGAGTTTTATAAACCCTAACTTAAATTCTTGAAAATATTTCCAAATTAAGACCATGAAATTGCACTGAAAATCAGACAAAACTGGGATCAGGATGTAGGGCAAAGATACTTGAGAGTAATCTGGTAATACATTAATAACTGCCAGCTCAAGCTGGTGATGCAAGAGGTATTGTTATGTCCAAGAGAAAAAGCTTTCTGCTGAGTTACTGAGCTGAATCAGCTCCTGGAGAGGTGTGAAAGTACCAGGACAGGAGGGAAGAGGCTCCATAACTGGGATCTAGGAAGGAAGGAAAGATCTCACCTTTCAGCAGCAGCAGCTGTTTAGAGGGTTCTATGGAACACTTTCAGATACCTAAATCACTTTTTAAACATCTCATGTAGATATTTTACAAGCTCTTTTTTAGTGATTTTCATTCAAATTTATCTTCCAGCTCCATCATAGGAGAGCAGAACAGCACAGAAATATCTCAGCTTTAAACAAACCTGCCTCCCTTGGCTGCTACCAGTGCCCTCCTCCCCGGGAGCTCAGGGCAGGCTGGAGGAATCCCAGCCCTGGGAACAATCTTTAGGATCCATTGAGTTCCCAGTGCTGGGGGGATCAATGCTCTGTCCATCATCCTGACAGAGCTTTGTCTCAGCTGCTCCTCAGCGCTGTCAGTGACCACCCCACCCAACAACCTCCTTAGTTCTTCTCTTCCCTCACACCAGGAATTTTTCTGATGCTCAACAGAAATCTTCCTTGCTGTGAGTTAAGTTCCTTTCTTCTTATCCTACTACCAAAGATGTGGAAATCACATTTTTTCCTTCTTGCAGAGGCTTGGAGATCGCTGGCAGATCCCACTTCTGCCTCTTCCTCCTCCTTTAGCCTTTCCTTATCAGTCACATTCTCCAGAACCCTAAACATTTTCACTGCCTCCCTCTCAGCAGAATGGAAGGATACCTTCCAGCATCTCCCAGGATATACAGTTTTTCCATAAGATCCTGACTGTGGCTTGCAGGCAGTTTGACTCACAGATCCCGAAAACCTACTTGTTCCTCATATTCATTCCTCCTCTCTAAATGTGATTTCTTCCACCTGGTTCCAACCAAATCTAATTCTATGTCTCACATATTGTTCCTTCAATTTGTTGAGATCATTTGGAATTCTATTCCTGCCCTCCACAATCCTTGCAGGCACATCCAGCACTCTGGATAACTGTTTTGTTATCCAGGGCATTAATGGAACAGCTCCAGCATCAAAGGAATACAGAACAGGCTGAGAGCAGAACACTTCAGCCCCTCACTCATTCAAACATCCTTCAAACACTCAAACATCCCAATTTTGGCAGGAAGCTTTACCTAAATTCCCTCTGAGGAGGGGTTTTCAGCCAGTGAACAGTAGAATTTTACAGATTATGCTTTCTTAGACCTCTTGGGGGAGGTCCATGTGTCTAAAGAATTCCTAACTTCCCTGAGTGCCACTCAGCACTTTATGAAATCAATACAAAAAGGCACTAAACTTCGCCCTCTTTGCCTCATGGAAGTCAGGTTTTTAATAATCTTGCCTGTAAAAGTAAGCCTGTACTAATCCATGTGAGCCATTGCTCCTGCCAGTGAATCCAGCTCTCCTGAAGCCAATTCCAGCAGGTCCTGAGCCTGCAGTGCCCTCAGCCTTTGGGCTCAGCACACTCCTCTAATTCTTTTATTACTAAAATGCTTAAAGTCTCCCTAAAACTTTCCCAGAGGCCAATCTTACACTTTTCTGAGCAGGAGGTGACAGTTGGTGACCCCAAGCCATGGTGTTCAGGTTGTCCCTTCCCTTCCCATCCAGCTGTTTGTCACCCTGGGGAAGGGACAGTCCTTACTCACATCAATCCCAGTCTGTGTCGCTTCTGGTCTTCATATAGGATAAAAACTGTTCCCTGTTTTTCCTGTTAAATAAAAAAAAGCTGCTTTATTTATTCCTAAAATAATGGTAATTGTAATAGATGTGTTACACAGGGACATTAGGTATACACACTAAGCTAAAAAGGGTTAGTTGGGAATTGTGTGTAAGGGATTCATGCTCAGTCTAAGTAGATTATTGCTCTAATTTATTGCAGAGAATACAATAAATACAGCAGAGTCTATTCAACAGCAAGTACTTTTATTCCTAAGCACTAAAAGTGGTCAAAAGTATCTTAAAAATTATCTCCTTATTTTTATCTCAACAGGCAGGTTAAGTGTATGCAAGGCTTTTAGGGGTTAAGTTTAAGGACAGAGAAAATATGTTTATTCTCTTGTTCTTAAAGCCTGTCCTCCACCTTAGATATACATGGGACACAAACGTTCATTAATCTTCAGCTCTGGGTCATCACGAGCCTGACAATGGCAACATGGAAGATGTTAGATCTCAAATTTAGATTTGATATTAGGAAAGAATTTTTCATGGAAAGGGTTGTGAAGAATTGGAACGGGCTGCCCGTGGAAGTGGTGGAGTCACCAACCCTGGAAGTGTTAAAAAATGTGTGGATGTGGCACGTGAGGACATGATTTAATGGTGGACATGGTGGTGTTGGGTTGATGGTCGGACTTGATGACCCTAAAGGTCTTTTCCAACCTTCACAACCCTGTGATTTACGTTGCTCTAAGTGGTTGTACCACACAAGAATTTACCACAAAACTTCTGCAGAGCAAATATCACCTTTTCTCCTTTTTCCCCATTCGTACCTGGAGGTCAAATCCAACCCCACGAGCTTTACACCTCTGGAGGAGGACGTTGTAGGAGGTCCCTGAGAGGTTGGAGTGCCTGAGCTGAGTGCTGGCCACGGCACAGCGGGGGCTCACCGGGGCAGGCTGCAAACAACAACACAGCATTCCTCACTTCCAGACCAGTTCATCCCAGTTTATCCCAGAACCCAACAGCTAAACGGGAAATTGCTGACTTTTCCCAAGGGCATGTGGTGGTAGGACAATGCGGAACGGCCTCAAGCTGAAAGAGGAAAGGTTCAGATGGGAGATTGGGAAGGAATTGTTGGCTGGGAGGGTGGGGAGGCCCTGGCACAGGTTGCCCAGAGAAGCTGTGGCTGCCCCTGGATCCCTGGAAGTGTCCAAGGCCAGGTTGGACGGGGCTTGGAGCAACCTGGGCTAGTGGAAGGTGTCCCTGCCCAGGGCAGGGGTAGAACAGGATGAGGTTTAAGGTCTCTTCCAACCCAGACTGTTCCATGATTCTATGCTTCTATAAATGGATCTTTGCCAGTGAACTCATGTAAGTGTGGAGGAATTCCTGTTCATCACAGTATCTACTGAACACAGACATTTTCATGCAGCAAATTTAAATCCCAGTAAATCCCTAAAACCTTGTATTCCAGATCAGATCTACAGAATTGCTCTTTATGAACCACATTTTGCTATTTTCACAGCTTCAGTGGTCACTGAGCCCTGTGAGATCACAGAATGGGCTGAGGGATCTTAAAGCTCATCTTGTTCCAACCATGGGCAGGGACACCTTCCACTAGCCCAGGTTGCTCCAAGCCCTGTCCAACCTGGCCTTGGACACTTCCAGGGATCCAGGGGCAGCCACAGCTTCTCTGAGCAACCTGTGCCAGGGCCTCCCCACCCTCACAGGGAAGGATTCCTTCCCAATATCCCATCTGGCAATGGGAAACCATTCCCCCTTGGATACAGGTAGAGCTGCATCAAGTTTAAACCCTTATCAGTGCTTAGGCTGAAGAGCTGCTGCCCTGAGCAGCCCTGAGCAGAGTTGTTCTCCCAAGCCAGGCTTTCCTGCTGTTATTTTACTGCTGGACTGTTCCCTTGGAGCAGGGACACTCCATGTTGAATCAGTAATTTACAGTATTTTCTCTCCAATGATATTTGTTTTGACACTGACTCATTTAAGTTGACGTCGCCGAAATCCTGATCTAATACATCTCTGCCTGAAAATTAATCATGTTTATAATATTCTGAGAATTAATAACACCCATTGCTCAAGTCATTAACTTAAAAAAGGAGCTTCCAAAATCTGTTCTCTGCAGTGGGGGACCACAAATAAATGAATGCTTGATAAAATAATCCAAGTAGCAGTTTAACAAGCGTAAACTTGAATGTGGCTGCAATAACACAGAACTATTGTTTAAGGGTTGGCATCAGGTTGATGAGGTGCTTATTTCAGCTACAAAGCATGCATACACATGCATAATGAACTGCAGGATGAATTATTAATGTGTTGCTTATTTAGCCTCATCTGTCTAGAAGATAATGTATCCTAACTATAATGAGTGATTGGTTTTGTACATAATTACAGGAGCAGCAGTATCTAGGAAATTTGTTCTTTCAAAGAAGGATTTCTAAAAATAAAACCCTCACACAAACTCAGGGGCTGCTCCATTTTATCAAAATCAACCCTACCAGCATGGAGAATATCTAATAAATTAAAAGGGACAGAATCATTATTAACATCATAATTTTACACAAAGTGTTTTACTTAATCATTCATTACAGATCATGTGCTGTAAAAACATTTGTCTCTTGGTTTGTTTCTTTTTCTGTTTTCCTGGGAGACTGCAGGCTTGTAGTTAACTCTTAAGGAGATAAAATCTCAGAAACACAGAAAGAAGAAAAAAATAAAGGATATGATGACAATTTATGTTAATTCTGATGGAATTTTAATTAAAAAAAGTTGCTACTTGATTACTTTTCATTTCTAAAACTTGGACTACTGGGACTAATCATATCTAATTTACTTCTTTCCAACTAAAAGTGGTTGCTTGACAAGAACAATAGATCAAGAGCTCATTAACCTCTAAATCACAGCTCCATGACATTTTTGGAATGGTGCTACATTCCTCCTCTATGGATGGAAAAAAGGGAGCTGTGAATCTTCTGTCAAAACACGTCAAACAGCAGCTGTTTGGGATCTCTGTGTGAGTGTACACAGGGACATGTTTCTTGTGCTCTGACTTCAGAAAAGACCTTCCTTCCCTTTTTATTAAATCCTGGAATGGTTTGGGTTGGAAGGGACCTTAAAGCTCATCTCATGCCATGGGCAGGAACATCTCCCACTAGCCCAGGTTGCTCCAAGCCCTGTCCAGCCTGGCCTGGAACATTCCAGGATGGGATTGTTTCACCCTCAGCTTTGTGCAGGCAGGTACAAAACTTCCCTGCTCCAACTCCCAATCCCAAATCACTGCTCAGACTTCTCCTAGACTGCTTTGAAGTTATTCCTGTAGTCAGGGCAGTGCTTCACCTCCACCCTTTTTCTTGCGACACATAAATTACCACTTTTTTTTACAACTTGAAAGCTACTTGAAATATTTAAAAGTGAGTTACCACCACCAATCAATATTCCCGAGTGCAAAGGATGAATAATTGGGGACCTATACATCCAGAAACTTTCATTTCTACTCTGATGTTACCCCATTAATTTATTAACCTTGGAAAATCCAAGAGGAGCAAATTGAGCTCCTCTAGAACAGCGCTCTGGGACAGATTGTAACTTAGGGGGAGTTTCCATGAATAATTTTACTTGTGAACATCTCACTGCTTACAGGTTTTGTCCCCTCACGCTGAATCCATTGGCTTTTCACTGCCTGTGACCCAAGAGGTGCTTCGAGGGGGCTGGAGCCACAATCCACGTTTCCATCTGTCACGTACAACAGGAGCTGGGTCAGGGCCAGCTGGTCACTGTAGCAAAGGTCAAGGTCTGTTGCCCACACCTGATCCAAACAAAGAGGTGCATTAAAGGGAGTTAAAGAGAAGGAGAAGAAGGGTAAAACTCAGCAATTGGGAAGGAACATCTCTGCCTATATTGTTCCTCGTTGGAGGTGATAAAGATGTTGGGAAGGAATCTTCCCTGGGAGGGTGGGGAGGCCCTGGCACAGGTTGTTCAGCCTGGAGAAGAAAAGGCTCCAGGGAGACCTGAGAGCCCCTTCCAGGGCCTAAAGGGGCTCCAGGAGAGCTGGAGAGGGACCTGGGACAAGGGATGGAAGGACAGGACAAGGGGGAATGGCTTCCCACTGCCAGAGGGCAGGGATAGATGGGAGACTGGGAAGGAATTGTTGGCTGGGAGGGTGGGGAGGCCCTGGCACAGGTTGCCCAGAGAAGCTGTGGCTGCCCCATCCCTGGAAGTGTCCAAGGACAGGTTGGAGCAACCTGGGATAGTGTGTCCCTGCCCATGGCAGTGGGTGGAATGGGATGAGCTTTAAGGTCCCTTCCCACTCAAACCGTTCCAGGATGTCATGATTTTACAAACCACTTCCAAATGGGAACATCAGAACTCTTCTCTAACTCCAGAAATAACTTTTCAGGCATGATTTAAAAGGCTGAGGGAAGCAGAAGGAAGTACTACAGATTCCTTCTGCAAGGCTCCTCTTCCCCAATAACCTTAGCTGGGTTTTCCCAGTGAGTTTTTCCCACTTAAAAAAATCCTTGTGGCTCCTGTGCCGGTGAGAAATGTTCCCACACACCAAGATCTGCCCTCCAGTGGACCCCTTAAAACAAATCTCCCAGTGAACAACTTGACTAAGCCCTTGAATGGTAAATGGCATCATTATAAGGATATTAAGGGGTCAGGCAGCCAAGGCCTCTTGGAAAACCGGAGTTAATTTCGGAATCATATGCACACAGTAATGCCCTTTGGATAATGGGGAATAAATCACCCCAGTAACAGTTGTTAATATCCAACTGCCAAGTATCTGTTGCTGTATTAAATATCCTATTTGTCAACTTAAATATTTCCTGCTGCACGGTACCAGATGCAAATAGGATGCTAATGGCTGCCTTTGCTTAGTAATAGGGAATGTTCCCCAATTATAAAGTTTAATTTTCTTCAATAATTTATTGTTTATCATCACTCCTGCGAGACAGGAAGGAACTTTCCCATCGATTTGTACTTTTCTAGTATGTGCCAGCCTTTCCAAGTTAAATCATAGTTATAAACTATTCATATTATAGGAGTGTCACATTAATTTTGATAAATATTATTATAAATATCATCAACAAGTCTGTGTCAGTGTGTCTTTGCTCTTGTTTGAGCTGGGTTTTAGATTCTCAGTTAAAACTTTGCCCTCAGAAGGAGGTGGCAGAGCTGCATGAGGGGACCAGGGACTCTTGGAAATCTTGGATATGTGAGGACTGTCCAGCTCAAAGGGAACTGGGTGCTCCTAATCCAGACCCTGATCTTACACCTGCATTGCTCTGACCTCAAAATTCACACCTTGTAGGATTTGTTGAGGCCCAAACAGAGGTGCAGGAGACAAGCTGGGCTGAAGGTGGGCCATAAAAAAAGTTAATCAAAGATGTCCCTGTGACTGAAGTGCATCTGGCAACATTTAGGGAATGGGGTGAGCATTTAACAGCAGATAAAGCATTAAAAAAAAGCAGCCTGGCAAACCTAACCAGCCATTAGCACTAAATAAATTCATTGCACCCTCCCAGGGATTCAGACAAAGCACACCAAGCGTGGGGCAGCACGTTCAGTCGTGCAAGAGTTACTCAACAAATCCCATGTTGTCAGTAACTACAATTAAAATACAAGTGACATTGTTTTAATTTCAGATGTAGAGAAGAGAGCCATTAATTACTCGTGTGGTGCATTTCACATCCATCTAAACAAAGCCCCAGCATGCCAGCCTGGCTCCAGTGCCCACTGGCACCTTCCCAGTCGCTGCTCTGGGAAGGACAGAAGTGCTCCCGGATCCCCTGCTCCAGGGGATGGCCCAGCTTGCCCAAAAAAGAGGAGAAAAAGGTTTTAGCAAGGCAAGTTTTGTGCTGCAGATCCTGAGATCGCCCAAATACTATTTTAAGGAGTTTCTGTTTACTCAACTAATCGCTTCAGATGTGGCTTCACCATCTCAGACCAACCACCCTCGTGCTGCTGCCTGTGAAATTAAGGGCTTGGATCTACAGGGTGGATGAAAGGTGTTCATCCCTTCCCCTGTTGTTATTCTAACAAAGGAGAGCTCTGAACACCTCCTTTAAGCTTCAATCATGGTTACATTCTGCATAAAGTCATCAGATATTTTGCATTTTTAATGTAAGGTGAGGGCTCCAGCAGCACGAGGAGGAGGAAGGAGAACGTGGCTGGAAGCCACCTGTCCACCTCCTCCCATTCCAGGCCTGAGCCTGGGGATAAACCACCCCTGCTGCAACTTAAAGCAGCCAAATGGTCACTTCTCTGTGCCAGCTGGGATCACCCCCAAGGATTGTTTTCCTGGCTCAGGATTGTCAGAGAACACGATATTGTGGCCGTGTCCCTTCCTGCCCTGGATGTGTCCCAGAACATCCCTAAGGTGGGCAGAAAGGAAGAAGGATCAGATGGCACAAGATTCCAGCTTTATCCTAGCAGGGGATTCCCTTTTGCCATGGAAACCCAGAAGTGCCCTTTAAATCCCCTTTGTGCTGCTCCAGACAAGGGAAACACACAGGGCTGGCCTGGGCAAGGGGTCTGCCTTTATTTTTAGGGATAATTTTCCCCATTTTCTTAGTTCAAATGAGAGATAATTAGTAACTAGCTGACTGAATTCTTTAATGGAACAATTTCCAAGCCACATTGCAGTTCCTGAAGTCACAACTGCTCTTTGTAAAATCACAGGCAACATTTTTGGTAATTCTGAGCAAGGCTGGAAGTTGGGCCAGGCCTGAGCTGTGAAGACAAAGGCTCTGCAGTTCCCTGTGGTGCTCCTGGTTCTGGAATTAGCAGTGGGAATCTGCGTGCTGGCTCTGTCACAGCCTGGCACCTTCCACCAATGATATATCCATATATATTCCCAAAGGGAAAGGGGGAGCTCATTATATCACATCTTGACCATACTGGTGTCCCTTGAGTTTAACGACCTAAAATTAACTGTAAGAGAGAAAAGAGCACCAGAATCCTTGATATTTTTGTCTGAGGAATTCTAATTAGGGGGATTCTGTTAGTTGATGACTTCTTGATTTCTTCTCACCAGTAAGTGTTGTTTGCTGAGGATTTTGGTGTATTTGACTCCCCCCTCTCTTATTTTTATTTCTCTATGAGAAATAATCAGCATTAGGGCCACATATAATGAAGCACAACCACATCAGATCTACTTATTAGTTTGGGCTGTTCTTTTAAGTGTAGCTTTCTAGTAACATCTATTGGATTGCAACAGGTTTTCCTCTGAAGTAATAAAAATAGGTGTCCAGAGCTCCTAGAATGCCTTGAAAATCTGAGCTCTGGTGTTTTGTGGCTGGGTTTTTATTTATTATTTCATGAATATATTTCCATAGTGCATAAAGCAATGTCTGAGGAGGTCAGGCAGTTAATAACCAGATAAATTATCATCTCCTCCAGTAAATAAGGAGCTGTTGGAGGAAGGCCTGGGCAAAGGTCAAGTTTAAGTGAGGAATGATACAATCCTACAGATTAACAAACAGATTATTGAGTCCACCCTCATTTCCTGAGAACATACAATCAGGGCACATAGCTATTTATGACTGTCAGTGTCACATCCTGCAGGAATGTGACATTGCATGGAAAATTAGCATAACACAAGGAGCTTTCACCTCAAATTTGGGGATTTTCAGGACACTTCTGTTCAGAAATTAAACTGGAACAGAGCTCATTTGTAAAATCTAGAACTGACATTTGATTATCAAACCACAAATCAAAGTTCAAAGGTAAAGGCAGTAGTTAAGATTTTAGATTGACTTAAGAGTGGTTTTAGGTGAATCTAAGCAAAGCACAGATTAGGACTTCCCAGAATCCCACCACTAGAAAAAAATGAGTTAGAAATATGTCCTGCAAGAGCTGCTGGCTGTTTCTCCAAGGAATTATGACAAAGCCTGGAATTACTCCTGTTACAAAGGCTGTCAGGAGACTCCTCCAGTGAGCACAGCTCAAGAGCCTGCACTTCATGGCAAAGACACCTCCAGTGAATAAAGCCACAATTATACTGGAATTCTTTACAGCTTCCATCAAAATGCTTCAGCTTTAAAACACAAACTCGAGAAGGGAAGGAAACATAAATTCTTAAGGAGTTACTAAATTACAGCTTTTCTTCCCCCGTTTAACTGTTTTCTCTGTGCCTGGTACCGATGTTTGTGTTGTTGTAAAGAGCCCACATGCTGCTTTTAAAGAAGTGGTTGGGTGATACTATAAAAATGTCAATTATAAGATACTAATGCAACCTGGGTGTTGAAGGGAGAGCTGCTTTTATGACTTTGAGCATTTGCAGGAGAATGGATGATTCCGGCAGCGCTGGCAGGGAGGCCCTTGTCCGGCTGCCATCTCGTGGCAGCTGCTGGGATGGGCTGGTGCTGCCCAAAAACTTCACTTCCAGGGCTCTAGAACTCCTCTGTCCTGCTCAATGTAAGATTGGAAGATGGTTCATGAAAACACTCTGGCTCTTGTTTGAAAATAACACTTAGAAAATGCTCCATGGTCTGGAGAGACCTTCAGACACGTCGTGAATGTGTCCGACCTCAGCTGTTTATCCAACGTTCCCTCAGTACTCCTACCAAGGGCTGGGAGTGTATAAAAGCCATCAGATCCATGGAAAAGGTGGCTTAGGACCCTGTTTCTCCAAATTATCTGTCCCCAGAACTGTGGATGTAAGGAAGTTTATGCATTCCAGCAGTCCCACTCCATTAAGTGGGCTCCTTGACAAGCTGGGGTCTGAGCAGCAGACACTCAACACTGGGCAGGATTTCACTCTGAGGGGTCAAGGCCTTGCTCTGAATGATCAATTTTGGAAAATAAAGTGAGAATCAGAAGTGATTCAGTCCAAATTATGCACCTAATTCTTCTCCTCCTCCACTTCTTCCCCTTGAACACAGCATGTCTCCACCTCCCTTCCCTCGGGAACAAGACACAGATGCTTTTAGCTGAGACAGAAACAGATTCCTGAGGCAAACAGGGAATTGTGTGGAGTCTCCACACCATTTCTCTGCCCCTTGGATCCCTGCTGGGGTGCTCACGGCAGCCAAGGCTCTGCCTTCCCATTGAGTTGTGTTTGACAACACACATTGTCCCTTATCCACCACGGAATCCCTTTGCTCCCAGTGCTCCAAAGGTTGATATTTTCTGTAAAATACACTTGGAAAGAATTTCTAAGTATCTGGTACTTCCAGGAAATGCATCTGAGCCTTCCAGCTACTACATTAAAGTGGGCACTTGTGAAATCAGTGAGCAAATGTTCTGAGAGTTTAATAGGATTTCTTGTTTGCCAAAAAAATAGTGCTTTCAGGAACACAATCCTTTGTGTGATCTCCCTCTCACAAGACAGATGGCCTCATTAATTGCCTCTACATCTAGTTAAATTTAAAAACCTGTGCTTAAATAATGCTAAAGTTGTGGTACGTGCTGACAAACATAGAAGATGGTAAGGTAGAATCAACTGAAAACAAGGGAAGAAAACCAAGACAGGGCAGACAGGAATTCTAAGAGGCCACAAGAAACAGTGACTGATTTAGTAAGTCCTTGTTCATGCCAGGAAATGTCATAACTTTAATAATCTAGGAAGCATTCCTGGGTTTCAGTGAACTCCTGGCTTGAGGGAAACAATTGGCACAACTCCATGGACTTCTGTGGGTGAAGGAAGTCATCCCTTAATCTTTCCAAAGCAACTTTCCATGGAAGTTTTCCAATATGGCTTATCTGCAGTTCTAATTACAATGTCTGCATAAACACATTTTGAGAGTCAAATGTGACTGGGATCTGTATTCCAGAGGAAACAAAATACTCTAAGGGTGGTGTGGCACTGGCACAGAGAAGCTGTGGCTGCCCCTGGATCCCTGGAAGTGTCCAAGGCCAGGTTGGATGAACTTGGAGCAACTTGGGATAGTGAAAGGTTCCACCATGGCAGGGGATGGAATGGAATGGGCTTAAAGGTCCCTTCCAACACAAATCATTCCAGGATTCTATGATCATTCCAATTCTCTGGTTCACCACAGTCACCCTACAGTGGTATTAGTTACCAAAAACCTGATTTTAAGCCTTCTCTGAGCTTAAACTGGATATAATTGTCACAGCACTGCTTTTGCCAATAGGTACCACATGTAACTCTTTGGGTTTAAATACAACCCTGGTGTTCAAAGCCTTTTCTCACCCCACACAAGTGGTTTTCAGACCCCTGGGAGAAACAGCCACCCCATCTCCTCAAAATCCACCTATTCCCCCCCCCAGCCTTTAAATACAGGGATGTTCCCTTTTACAGTCACAACACTGAGGGTCCTCACTGAAGATTCTACAAGAAAACAATGTCAGAGTGAAAAAGAAAACAATGACAGGAGAGTGAAAAACACGGAGATGCATCAGGTCTAAATTTTATGCTGTTTTTAGAACACCCATGTGCTCCCTCCCATCCAAAAGCTTGGAAATACAGTTTGTTGCAAAAGGCAAAGCTTTCTCCTGGTTGGAATTCCACAGGAAAACTGACATTACTTGGTCTCAGGGAACAGTGTGAAGTAACTCACCTGCTGCTCCATGGTTTGGGGATGGGTGAAAGCCACAAAGTCAACGGAGAAGTAGCCAAGCACCCCTTTAGATCTACAGGCATCCCCAATTCTCCAGCAGAGCGAGTTGAGAACCGCTGGATCCACGGAGCGCTGTGGGATGGAGCTCCCAGAGGATCTGAAGGGCCCCTCAGCGTGGAGCTGGTCCCCAGAGGACACGATCCTGATCTCTCCTGTTGGCTCTATGAGCAGATCCACCGTCAGGCTGGTGACGGTGCTGGAGAACGGGAAGGCTTCGATCACTCCACCTGGGAAGAAATGGAATAGCTGAACATGAGCCAGAGTGTGCCCAGGTGGCCAAGAAGGCCAATGGATCCTGGCCTGGCTCAGGAACAGTGTGGCCAACAGGTCCAGGGAAGTGATTCTTCCCCTGGACTCAGCACTGGTGAGGCCACCCCTGGAGTGCTGTGTCCAGCTCTGGGCCTCTCAGCTCAGGAAGGATATTGAGGGGCTGGAGCAGGTCCACAGGAGAGCAACGAGGCTGGGGAAGGGACTGGAGCACAAGTCCTATGAGGAGAGGCTGAGGGAGCTGGGGCTGTTCAGCCTGGAGAAGAGGAGGCTCAGGGGAGACCTCCTCACTCTCTACAACTCCCTGACAGGAGGGTGTAGCCAGGTGGGGGTTGGTCTCTTTTGCCAGGCAACTCTCAGCAAGACAAGAGGGCTCGGTCTTAAGCTGTGCCAGGGGAGGTTTAGGTTGGATATTAGAAAGAATTTCTTTCCAGAGAGGGTGATCAGCCATTGGAAGGGGCTGCCCAGGGAAGTGGTGGATTCTCTGTCCCTGGAGGTGTTGAAGGTGAGACTGGATGTGGCATCAGTGCCATGGGCTGGGAACCACAGCGGGGTTGGATCAAGGGTTGGACTTGATGATCTCCGAGGTCCCTTCCAACTCAGCTGATTCTATGATTCTATGAACTTGGGAGCAAATCCACAACTCAGAGTGCACAGAGTGAAGCCACCAGCTCCTTCTGTGCTCAGGCACTGCAGGGATACAAGGATATAGCAAGGAAACTAATGGAATGGGAGCAGCAGAGTTCCACTGGATCTCTCGGAGGAGAAAGGAGACACCTCATCTACCACTGCATTGTAGTGTTCAGCCAGTGGCTTTTCAGTTCCACTTCCCAACTGGATATATCCCATATCTGACTGGAGAAACATGTTCTGGGGTAGTGTGAGTGAATCCAGCTAAACACCAGGCCCGGAACAGCTGGGAAATACAATGTTGGGATCTTGGGGGAAGTGGTGTCTCCTGCTGTGAACTAATCTTGGAGACCCCCGTCCATAGGATGGTCTCAGATAAGAGTCTGCCCTGTAGTATTCATCCACATGAGGAATTTGGTGTGGAGATGACAACTTCCAGCATGATTTTCCATAGGAAAATCACAAAGAAAACCGCTTGGCATTCTGGATTTCCCTTTTTATTGCACGTGATGCCACAGTTCATTTAGTCAGGATGAACTACTGTGTAATGAAATTGGTACTAGATGTGTTAACTAAAAATACTTTCAAAGCTTTGACTCATTCTTGTCTCTTCCACAGATAAAGAAGTGTATGAAATTTATATGTGAAATATTCTCTTTCTGCTGGAATTCCCTAAAGCCCTTTCCCAACCAGCCTTTAGTACAGTACCCAAGGATAAAGGAATTGGTGCTTATGGATTCAGAATCCAGGATTAATATAAGTTCAAAGCTTGGATAGGACACATGAATGATAGAACAGTGGCCTATAATTCATTGGTAAATGAACATTTGAAGCATAATGGAGAAATAAAAGGAGATAAATATTTAAATGGGCCCGAGATTAACAAGAATATGGCAAACAATATGGTATAATTACTCCTTATAACACTTCACAGCGACTTTGCAGTCTTATTTACCTTGAGTGAGGAATGTTTGGAGGAATTTTTCCCATGTAGGGAATCGTTTCTCATTGACTGGCTGTACGTGCTGTGCTAAAAGGCCCGGCAGCTCCTGGGAGATCTTCACCAAAGCCAGCTCCTGCAGAAACAAATTAAATAGAACCACAAGCAATTTTACTACAGAAATGAAAACTGCTTGTGGGGTGATTAAAAACCAGGCCTCCAACAGGCTAAAAAAAAAAAAAAATGTGGTTACTGTTTACCCACAGTCAGGAAGCCTTTTTTAATTTTTGTGCTTACTCCTCTTCCTTCCTGCAGGAACGTGTCCTTCTCTGAGAGGCAATCCCCCCCTCAGCACAGCAGCTCTTGCATTATAATTTATATCAATAATTGGATCTGGCAAGTGAAAATGCCAAGTACTTGGTAACTGCTTGGGATCAATAGCAGCAGTCAATAACTTCTGCATTGCTTGTATTTTGAGGCAGCATATTGAAATAGTCACATGTGCCAGCAATAGTTGTACTGGTTCTATGCTTAAGCTCTTATATCAACCCAAACACTCTTTAGTTAAATAAATAACCTTTTCCACTCTGTAAAATATCTGCACCAAATTCCCAAGTGTGTATGTGCCTCTGTCTTTGGCAGAATTTGATTAGTCATTCCATAACTAAACCAGCTTTTTTCCTGGTTTTAAATTCTTTGTTCATACACACACACACACACAATCCAACCCCATTAAATACAGAAAGTAACATTGCTTTTACTGTTCCCAACGTCCCAGAGTACACAAGCATATAAAGTGCAAGGACCTTGACTCCATTGCTTCAGGCTCCTTTTCTTGCTGCTTCATGAGCCTCCTCCTGCTTCCCCTGGGGCTCTTGGCTTCTGTTTTACACCCTCTCTCCTCAGCACCCTGGGCTCCAGCAGATGACCAACCCTTCTCTGATCCTGACAAAATCCTAAGCCACAACCATTTTATCTTGAGCTCTGGAGGAAGGGGATAAAACTTTATGGCTGCCAGCTAAGAATAGGAAATAAAACATTAAAGTTATTTTTCCAGAGCAGTGAGTTTGAAGGGATGGGCTTTGTCGTGGCATGACGTAACCAAAAATACAAATTCAAACTCAGCTTCCTGGGGTTTATCTACCAGAATGAGGAAGATGGACCAATGATTAGAAGCACAGGATGGTTTGGGTTGGAAGGACCTTAAAGCTCATCCTGCTCTCCCTCTGCCAAGAGCAGGGACACCTTCCACTAGCCCAGGTTGCTCCAAGTTCATCCAGCCTGGTCTTGAAGACTTCCAGGGATGGGGCAGCCACAGTCTTGCAGGGCAACTGGGCAATTAGGGATCAACTTTGTGGACAGGAGACCTGGATACCCCTTGTTCCTGACTGCAGTCGGCAGGAGACTCCAGGAAAGAGATTTTCTGACTGTCCAGTCACAAATGGGGGACAATTCCTGTCCTTACCTCACATGGAATTGAGGAAAAAAATGCCTTAAAAATATTAAAAGGCTTAGAAAACAATGCTGATCTGGGCTATGTGGGCTCCTCTCATATAACAAGGAGAAAAGTGTGTTGTTGACTTCAAACACCTCAGAAAAAAAGGTTAAAAATGGGTTTAGTCAGTATATCAATATACTAAGCAGCACAGCCTCATGGCAAAAACAAAGGAGCACATCAAACATGAGATCCAAGCTCACCTTCAGGTCTTCCACTGCTCCTTTCCTTATGATCTGTAAGGAATGTAGGGTTTGGATGGCTCAGCTGACTGACACAGCAGAGCAGTGAGCAAATATCAGTTGGCCTTGCCTTGGTTTGCATTTGTGTTGAATTATTGCTGAGCCAACAAGTCACAGGCTGAGGTGGTTCATCACACGGTGGAAATAAATGTGGCTTTGGAGAGGGATGTGAGCCATGATGGATGGCAGGGAATTGCTGCCCCACAAATCAGTCTGCAGCTGGCAGTGCCTTCAGAGATACCTCTGTCACTCCCAGCCTCAGCCCTGAGATCTGATGACTTTGGGTTTTGTGCAGTTTAAACAGAAATATAAAAACAAGCCAAGAAAGAGGTGTGCAATGGTTGCCTGAAAGCTTTTGATAAATCACAGGGGGGGAAAAATGGTGGATATGTAGAAGCATTTGGGAATGCTGGGACCAAGCTTGTATAAGTGACATTAAACTAAGAGCAGGTGCAGTGGGACAACTTTCCTTTGCAACCATTCTGAGCTGCATCTCCTTTCAGACAGAGTTGTTTTGGAGGATCACAAATGGAGGTGGAACAGAGTTCCCTAAACTGGGTGCAAAATGAAGCAGAACTTCCAAATTTTGGAGTGTACCCAAGGCCTGGCTAAGCTGGCTCACTGCTGGAGGCTGCTGGTAGGACACACACTGCATTCACCTCATCTACACACCCAGTAACCTCCTGTGCTGCTGCTCTCAGCTCACATGATGGACATTAGACAGGCAAGACTGTTGTGGCACCTCCTCCACAGGCCCAGTGCTGCTTAAACAATGTCCAACAGCATTTCCTGGGGATTTGAACACAGGCTGAACTTAGGAGGTCTGTTGGGTGCAAAGTGCTCAGCTCAGGAGCCAAACCATGGAATGGTTTGGGTTGGAAGGGATGTTAGAAATCATCCAGTGCCACCCCCTGCCATGGGCAGGGACACCTTCCACCAGCCCAGGTTGCTCCAAGCCCCGTCCAACCTGGCCTTGGACACTTCCAGGGATCCAGGGGCAGCCACAGCTTCTCACCAAGAGCACCTTGCACTCGTGACTGTGAAGGATCTGAGCAGCCAAACCAGCCTGACAGAAAGCAAACAGGATTTTAAAGAAATAACCAATCCAAGCAAATCTGAAAAACTTCCCTGTGAGCTCCAGCCCAACGTGACAGTGCCTTGGACAAGCAATGCCTGGAGAATCAGGGTGTTCACAGAAGGGAGTCGGGAACTGCTCTTTAAGGATCAGCAACTGGAATTCCAGTTGGAGGTTTTTTGCAACTGTAAGCTCTAAAAAGGCAATAATCCTGATTATAGGGAGTTTTAGTAGGCAAATTCAAGCCTGGATCCAACACTGACTTGTGAAGTCAAACCTTTTAAAAGGAGGAGTGCTTGGCTGGCTAATTCCATTTAAATTGGAGGGTATCTCCAGCAGAGCTTACCAATGTTTTAGCTCTTGGTGTGGCCCAAAACAATCCAGGATCACAGGCTCAACAGAAACTGGGAGCATTTGTTCAAATCTTTCAGCTGATGCTTCTTAGTACCAGTAAAAAAGCAGCAACCCAAACACTGTTTATGTCTTGTAAAAATCTTCAGATCTTTAAATTATCCAAATTGGTTTTGCACCTTTTTATAACAATGAACAAGTATGAAAGAGGAAAAAAAAATACACCTTTTTCCCACTAAATATAAAATAATTTCTTACCCTTCTGCAAGCTGAATTTCAAAAGGCTTTCTTAGAATGGCAGTTGCAACAAAAAATTAATATCAAATGTGGCAGATGTTGAAGGCACTGGTAGGAAATCTGCTGGAGACAGATCAGGCAGCAAAGAAAAGCCTGTTGAGAAGAGAAAAGAAGTAAATAAATAGGAAGAAGAAATACACTTAGAAACAGGAAGAAAGACCTGGGGACAGAAAGAGGCTGCAGAGCAGGAGAAAGCATGACAAAGACCCAGGGCTTTTTAGCTAAAAATCAGATTGAAAGGAAATTATTTAGACCTTGCAAGCAAATAGAGTGAAGAAAGTAACTCCAAATAAGTAAAGCTGAGTGGGCCAGAGAGGAATGAAACCAGCAGAGATCCTGAGTGATACAAACTGCCACAGCTCTGCTGAAGTCAATGAAGCCATGGCAATTTATGCCACTTGGATGGCACTATGACAATTCCTACCATTTACAAGTAAATCCTTTCTGCTGCGATCAGTGGAGCTGGGATAACTTATTCCAGCTGCCTTGATGGGAATCGGTCCAGCCCAGCTTATTCTGATATCCTCAGTGACACCAGCAAATGTGGGAGAGCCCAGTAACTGCTTCTGACCGTCCAAATATCTTTCATTATTTCCTGTTTTGCAAATTAAACCGATTTGATACTGTTTTCCTAATTCAGATAGGTACACGCTGGCCAGAAACACAGTTTACAGCAGCGAACAGAACAATGTGAGAAGTTTATAAAAATGGAAATGGTTTTGGAAGCGATACACTGAACACCCTCTATCCACTTAAAGTTTGCCACCTGATTTAAAGCCCAGGCATTTCGTCGTTAACTGCAAATTTTAAAATTAAAAAAGTGCCAATTCTGCCTTTGCACGAGCCGGGAAAGGGCGTTGGGAGCGAAGGTACCATCATGTAAAACAGCCGTCATTACCCAGCCACACAAATGTTTTTCCTATGTAAAATTGCTTTGTAAAATATTTGCTCCATCTGCTGAAAGGAGCAAAGACAATTTTCCCTGATAGCTAATGGGCCATTTCAGCTGCCTGGCAAACGGGGCTGCCACCGGCATTAAGGGGAATGGTGGGAGCAGCGCACAGAATTCCGCACTTTACTGGGATTATCTCCGAGCGCCTCCTCGGAGCTCGGCCCGCCCTTCCCCGCGGATCCGGACACGGGGTCGCTCCGGCTCCGGGGGCTTTTTGTGGGGCTGAGGCACATCTGCCACGCTTCAATCCAGCAGCACAAAACAGCCTCTTCCCGTGACTACGAGAACAAGGAGCTCAGTTCCCTTTCAACTTTGCAGCACTTAAACTGCTGTTCCTTTTTTCACGCCACATGGGGCCACGGGTTTCTCGTCTGGCTCACGCTGTCGCTCGGCACGCTGAGGATTTCAATATATAAAGATCAAGCACTTCTTTTAATTCTAAATTCAGCCACAGCCACAGTCATACACACAAAAACCCCACAAAACCCCCCGTGCCCCGGTCCAAACCCCCTCCCAATTGCTCCTTTCATTGTGCACTTTCCTATTTAGCATCCATTGAAAAGCACGTTTTACATTGTGCCCTGAACTACTCCAACATCTGCTAACAGACCAATAAAAAATAAATAAACCAGGATTGTTTAGGACGAGAGATCCTTCCCATTTCCTCGGAACACTCCTAAACTGGCAGCACAATATGCTCCCAGAACCCTGTTCAGCTTGGAGA